CCGACTTAATGTAAAAACAGAACGGTTTTAATTTTGGATATATTCACCTGTTTATATGTCACTTTTAACAGATTTTGAAAAGAAATTACCGCTGTCCATCTGTGTGTGAATCTGGCCAATGACTGTATAATTGACAAGCACAATGGAATTAAGCATCCCCCAGGGCGAAGCCAGCCATTTTTTCCTTTTAAGCCCACAATGTATAAGTCCTGAAAAGCTAGGGGGGTGGGGGGAGGGGTGGGAGGTTGAGGACATATAATAGCAACCCACATTAATGCTGAACTGTAAAGAGGGTTCATCCAGAGTCTTGAATTCTTGAAAAAGTCTAGAATTAGCCCAGCAAACTTTTCCAGACCTGGAAAAAGTCTGGAAAAATGATAAAAAGTTGTGAGCTTTATTTCAAAGCTACAAAGCTGCTTTATAAAAGTGAATTGTTTTTCGTTTTGGTCAGATCTTATTCAGTCTCAGCCGTATATGTTTGCAGTGCATCATGAAAAAAAGCTTTGTTCCTGCTTTTTTAAGGTCACTGTTGATCACCTATTTGATCACCTATTTGATAACTGGAAAAAGAAATTATTGTTTTGGAAAAAAATCTGGAAACAGTCTTAAACTGATTTTAGAGCGAAGAATCTATATGCACCCTGTATAAACAATTATGGCACAGTTGTTCCGGTTTACTTTAAAATGTTACCTTTAACCCATTCATCCCTGGATGTTATGTCGAAAAACAAATTTTGAAGCTAGTCGAGTGGTTTTCTGGTCACTGTCGTGCTTTAAAGAGCTAAAACTTACCATAAAGCTATTTACACTGTACAGGTCATACACTTTGCGGCCTTCTGATCCAGATGCAGAAAAAATTGTATTAGCTTGCGAAGTTTGGGCATGGATTTAAAAGTGACACATCAGTCTCGCTTTCCCTCCTCCCCTCTTTTTTGCTTTTCTTGCGTCATTATTTTCTTTTGCTGGGCATTTAGTAGGCTTCATTTTGGAGGGAAACTTTTTTAGGAAAGCTTTTAGGATCTTAGAACTAGGTGAAAGGAAGGGTAGCAGGGTAGTGGAACAAGATTTTCATGGAAATTTTCAGGTCAATGTTACATGGATTTTTGCCTTTTTTTTTGGTGTCCTTGACTGAAATTCAGTAACCGCCTGCGCACATCCACATCCTTTCTACCGCTTGTGACCTCATCAGTTTTGATGGTTTGCAAGGACAACTTTGTCCGCTAACTTATGCAGGGTGAAGAGATCTTTCAAACCATACCAGAACGAGTACAATTACCAGAATGTACTCATTTTGGTATGGTTTGAAAGATCTCTTCACTCTGCATAAGTTAGCGGACAAATTTAAGTTGTCCTTGCAAACCATTAAAACTGATGAGGTCACTAGCAGTAGAAAGGACGAGGATCTGCACAGGCGGTTACCAGGGCGGCTCAGGGGTGAATAGGTTAATGAGTAATAAGCAGTGAATTATCAGCAAAAGCCTTTTTGAATTCTTTAAAGATCTCTATTTACACTCATGTATATCTCTCAAGTTCAATAGAGACATAAGTATCTTTCTGTGGTATGACTGGCTTGTGTACATATAGAGATGGGAATCGGCTGTTTTCTCAATATCATTGATCGCATGTAGAGCTTTTCGCCCTTCTCGTAGTGCACTATCATGGTTGTTTTACATCATATAATGGTTTGGGCAAATGGTAAGCAAAATTCATCAGGTCTGGTAAATTTCATCCCAGAACCCATTTACCATTTGTAGAAATCAGTTCCATTTACCAAAAAACGATCACAAAAAACTGTAACTGGTATCAAGTAAAGATATATGGCTATGAAGGAATGGAACATGGATTCAGAACCGTTTAAAACATTCTGTCCGGAAAACAGGATTATCTTTAATTTGCAGCAGTTGCCCCTGGAAATTTTGTGACGAGAAAAAAAAGGTTGCGTCCCATTTACTTTCCAACTGCCTATTTTGCGGAAACTTTTTGTAAATTGTAAACAACCCATGTTTCTGAAGTCACAGTGGACGCTGACATGGCACGGAGAAAAATGAGCACAGTGGCGTCTTTCTCAGTTGTAAGGTCTTTAAATGTTTTGCTTTATAGTGTCTCTTCTTAGTTGTCAAAAGCAAGGTAACTGTTTCAATGCAGAATAAACATAGTCAACCAGGGTATGAAATTAACTCTTTTTCAGTCCGCAACATAATAAAAACAAAAAGGCAATTAACAAGGGGGAAAGATTTACTAGATGTTATTTACGAGTTGAGACCCTACAAAATTCCAGTTTTTTAACCATCATTATGATAATTTCTAACCTGTTACCAATGCAAAGTAAACAAAGTGGGACCCATACAACGTACCTACTTGAAAAAACAAGATAGCCCAGCAACAGATTCATTGTTCACACTCTACTGGATAGTTCTTGCACCGGCACAAAAACCATACCTGATGGGGTTTCTCTTTCTGATTTCGGTGCAATTTCTGTAACATGGCGATGCTTTGCATTACGTGAGCTCATTTTAACCCAAATTTTTGCTAAGCCCGGGCTTAATGACTTAAAGGCAGCTATGCCACTGCCCCGTTAATTACTACAGTGGCTCATTCATCTGTGCACTAGCTTCGGTTTTGAACCATCAGCTGCCTTAAAAAAAGTGATGACGGTTGTAAAGTAATAATAATGACAAAGACAAGGAAAATGATGTACAGCTTTCCTGTTTTTGAAATAGCCAGGAAGGCAGCCTTTATAAAGGCTTCACTTGTTAGGGCTGTTCAACCATGCAAAGTAGATCCCATTTGAGCAGTTGTGTTTCTACATCACCTGTATTCATCCATTGAGCGATGGAATATAACATGCCAAGCTTTCCATAATGAGCTGCCAGGTTATTTGTCAGATCAGTTAGAGAGACTTCAAGTTTTACACTAGCTGTCTTGCATTCAGGGCAGAGGCCATTCACAATAAAGTGAGATACAAGAAGGCAGGAACATTATAACCAAGTGTCTTTTTCATGAGATTATTGAAAGCAGGTGATCACAAATTTCATGGCCTGATTCCTGCGCACAAGAGTTCTTTCAGGTGTATAGGTCACAATCACAGTTCTCTATGTCAATACTTCCTTCTAATAATTCTTGTGATGCTTAGGTCTTCTGTATTTGGCTCCCGTAAATTCTTGTCAGGGCTTTTCTTCTAGAGTTTAGAAGTCTAGTTCTTAGATGTTGTTAGATTTTTACCTCTTTCAAGTTTTTGTTTAGCTTTGCTTTTAGTAGTATAATTAAAATACCAAAATATGTAAAATTATTCGTAATTTGGCCTTTCGGCTGCCAATAGTGTTTTTAATAAGCTATCCTGTCAATTAATAATATTTATCCAGACTCAAATATAGTTAATGAGAATATAATGAGAATATATATGATATAAATGATATGAGATAACTAAACAATAATCTTAGCCAGTAAATATTTACGAATGTAGATAATTTAAAAACTCCTAGGTTTTACAATTATTTGTTTTCATTTTACCAAATCAATCAAACTATGTATTATATTGACAGACAGACAAAGATTACATTAAAGTGTGATCACACCACAAATGGAACTAAACCTAAAAGCTTTACAGAAGACAAAGTTGGATCACTTTCAATATATGTAAGTATATTTAATTCAAATGTGGTATAGTTGGCCCCTGAATGTACGGCAATTTCCAAGTCATAGTATTAGATGGAATTAACTTGTTCAGCTAGTGCAGCCACTTGATCAATTAAAAATGTTAATTTCCAAGGAACCCTGGATGTTTGGTCAGGCATGTGTTGCCAAGTCTACAAATTTAAAACCTCCTACTTGATTTTTTGGTGATCTGCTTTGGAATGTGAACATCCTGCTTTAATATATAAAAGTAAATTACAATTACTATAAAAAAAATCTCCCAGAATCCTTTGAGGCAATTTTTTAAAAAGCTTTATAACTCTAGTCTGACAATTTTATATCTAGAAGACTGTCAGACCACAACAAGATAACATTTGCCATAAAATATCTTCCCATGTTGCATCTGAGGTAATGACATCATCAGTCATGCAACTATTTCCGAATTAGGTTTTTTGGTTGCTGTGACAAGATTTCATTAACGAGTTAAAAACAAATAGCACATTTGAGATTTTAGTTGTGTGTGCCTTTAATTAAAAAATATAAACCAGTTGACATCCAGCATTTAAAATTGAAGGGGGTAATGAACGTGAGCAAAAAAGTTGGGAGACTAGGCTGAGGGTTGTAGAAGTTAAAGTCAACCTTTTATCACATGGGGGAGAAAATTTGCAGGAAAGTAATGTTCTACCTGATAATTTTTTTCATGGCCAAAAGAGGGACATGACGTCATCAGTCAAGTGATCAAAGCGTTTTTGAATGTTTTAGTTCATTTTTAAAGTACCTTTTTTGTCATAAATTGGCAAGTTTTTGGTGTTTTTCTCAACAATTCTTTACACTGTATTGTCTCTGAGTAATTATTATTCCATTTCCAAAGTAGAAGTAAACGAAAACTGAGCCAGAAGTTTAAAAGTTGCGTAAATAAGACCGATATTGCAAGTTAAAATCGAAAAGGAGACCTACTCTTGGGACTTTTGTAAAATCCTTTTTCAACTTAACTGCATTGTTTGGAGTGTAAAGGAGTCATGATGAAATGAGTCGGTGAGTCATGAGTCAGTGAGTCAGATCTGAAAAAATAAAAGTTTCGGTAGAAACAATAAAATTAAATAAGCTAATTTGCTTTTACTTATTTTGTCTACTTCCTTCATTGCTGCCTGCACAAGGCCAAATTCTGCATGAAATCTCCACCTGGGCTGTTTGTTAGCAGTTTCCAGGCCCTGCCCCGTAGCACCCGACCAGAAGTGAAAAATAAGGCAGCCTAAATTTTGTGAGTGCTGCCAAAGAAAGTCTTTAATTTCCATTGAACACAGCTCTTAAAGTAAATTTAGATAAACCTGTTGTGAATTAGCACTCAAAGACTCAAATCTGGGAATCTGGAAATCTGGGAACAGTCGTTCTTTGACATTTGGTGTATTGATGTTTGGGCCCAGTTTGAAGTAGAAAATTAGTCACAAGTGTGAAATAAAGTTCTTTTATGTCTGTATTGATATAAGTTTCTCATTAGCTTGTCATGCTGGTGTAAAGTTAAGTATCCCGGGAACTAGAGGGTGTTTCAAAAGTTTGTTCTGATTGTAAATTGTGTTTCTCACAAAGCATTAATTTAATGCTTCCTGAGGCAAATGTAAACTGATTCAGGTAGGACAGTTGTTTAAATAACCGTTCAAAGCAATTTCAAACTAAAATTTGAAGAAATTATGGTATTTTTTAAATTTTTTCCGCAAATGTGCACGTACGCGAATTTTTTCCCGCCATATTTTTTGTGCCCATTTTGTAGGTTTTCTATTTTCGTTTTTGTGGCGTTTTCTTTTGTTTTCTCTACTCTTTCACGAAAATGAAGGCGTGCACTGTTTGTGCTAGAGCTCAGGCATCTATTTTTTAGGTACTCTGTCCATTTAATCAAAGAAATTGTAAAATTGTTGAAGAAGTCTGAACGATGAGAGAACAAGTGGTCAAAAGTAAAGACCTTACAAGACAAACCAAGGAGTAGATGGCCGGTTTTTTTTACAAACTGTGTGAAAAAATCGAAAAAGCTGTAAGTATATGTGTAATAATTCAACAAGACTGCAAGGTAAAAAGAAAACTTCAACTTCACAATGTCAAAGTTTTGAACACAACGGTATGGAGATACGTGACCAACAAAGGTTGAAAAGCCTTGAAGAGAAATGCCGCCATGGCATCAGAAGAATTTGCAAACTTTATACCAAAGGACGACCGGCATTCACATGATGCGAACTCTCTGGTAACCATGTGGATTATCGTTGATGAGACATTCATACAAAGATCCAGCCCCCAAAACACTGGACTAGCTATTAGACAGCGACCACACTTCACCTGGAAAATTGTGAATTTACACACGCTATGGGAGCTCGTACATTCTATACCTCACCGCTTAGAAAATGTCAGAAATCATAAAGGAAGGCATTCTGGCTGCTAATATTTCAGTTAGTCAATGTTAAATGAATAGTGAATAACAGCTTAGGTTTACCAAAGTTATCTTTAATAATCAGTGAAATTTAAGTGAAGAAAAAATCGGAACGAACTTTTGAAACACCCTGTATTCATTAAGTTTTATCGAGGAATCGAGGAGAATATAATGTTCTTTCATGCTGTGGATCGCTGTGGATCATGAACACACTGAAGACGATCCAGGACAGCCAATTTATGTTTTAAAGAATCCGTTCCAACAATCAATTGCAGAGCTGTTTTCAGTACTTAGATAATCTTCCCAATGTAGTTCACCACTTTTTCCAATCGGTTTTACTTGCATCAAAAGGTGAATGGTGCTATGAGGTTAACAAACTGAATTGTAATTTGCCCAAGGAGGGGTATGAAGCCAGTCAGTATAAAAGATGGACTTGCAGACTGCGGACTTGGTATAAAACACGGACTAGGTATAAAATGCGGACTGCGGACTACGTTGCTAAAAACTGTGCTCATTGGTTCTAGGTAAGGTAAAATAAGATCAGAAGATTACTAAATAGCACATTAGTTTAAGTGATAACTTCTCTAGAAATTGCCGCCCGGTTCTCCAAATCCTGAGCCTGACCAAAATGCTATTTTCTGCACCCATTTTTACACCTGGTTTAAGTCTGTAGTGTCTATGACACAGGTCACAAATGCAATGTACATATGTTTGCATAGGTGTAAATCATGTCATCATTGCTTAGAATATAACTTTGGATGATATATTTTGGTTATTATTCACATATAGGTGAGTAACCCCTCCCCCCTAAATACAGCTGTCTTGCATCGTGAAACTGGCCCTATGTGGCTATATTGACCTTCCCATCCAGGTTCTTTATATTGTTGTATCCCCAAGGCTTTGAAATAGAATTGTGGCATCTGTAATAATTTTACCCACTAACACCAATACTATTTTTTTTCTATTTGGTGCTTCTCAATTTCACACCTCTTTTTATAAAATTCAGAGTTTCATTTTCAGTTGGCTTGAGTAGTGGCATCAGACCCTCTCTGCCTGTGCAGAATGCTTTAATTCCTTCTCCAAGCTGACATTGGGGAGAACAGACTGCGTATAACCAGCCAAAGGAATGTCTGTGTGTGGCAAGAAGCTGGGACTACTGTTTTATGCTACTGCAGTCCGCTATCCGTTTCTCTCAGTTTTTCCTTTCTAAAGCTGTTTTCATAAGTCTGTGTTTTGTGCTCAGTCCATAGTTTCCAGTCCTCATTTTATACTAAGTCTGTGTTTTATCCGCAGTCCGTGGTCCGCAGTCCGCAGTCCGCAGTCCATGTTTTATGCTGACTGGACCAAATGCGAGTCAAACATTTGTACACAGTAATTTTTTTATATTATTAGAAACACCCATACAGTGTACGATTAATTATTATTGACAGAGGTATTGCTGTATACCTATTGTAATATTTTAAATAGCTTTCAATGCTTATTGATTGATTAAAATCTTTGGGCATTTATTGTTTGCATTATGTCCGTGTTTATATTTACATTAGTTCACATGTTTAAAACTCGTTCATCAACGGATATGAACAATGTTGGGGCAGCACTTCAGTTCGGGTATGGAATCTCTAGTAGTATAGATTGTCTGATGGTTTAAATGGTTCAAAAGGGTGTCTGATGGGAAGGCTATTCTTTGGGGAATGCACGTAGTAAGCAGCAGGGCCTGGGATACTGCTAACAAACAGCCCAGGGCCCAGTTGTTTGAAGGCCGATTAGTACTAACTGAGGGTTAAATTTTAACCTGGGTTTCTTTTTCTTTTGTTCAAAAGCATTTATCGGATAATTTTCTCGATTCTTTCTAGAGTATCAAATCATCGAATTGTGGGCAAAAAGAATAAAACTGAATTTGCTTTTTAAGCTTTCATATCTGAATTGCAATTTTTCACTAACCCTGGCTTATCTTAACCCTGCTTTGAACAACCTGGCCCAGGTCAAGATTTCATGTCAGAAATAGGCCTTGTGCAGGCAGCAACAAAGCAACCAGACAAAATAAGTAAAAGTAATGCTTAATTTGATTGTTTCTGCTGAAACTTTTATTTTTTCAGATCTGACTCATTGACTCGTGACTCATATGACTCATTGACTCATTTGACTCATAAACATCCATTCTTGTTTGTTTGCCGAAATAATGTTTAACGTTTGTTAATAGAGGAGAACTTTAAAAAGTAAAAAGGATGTATTTGGCGGCCATATTTTTTTCTTCATTCCGGGGCGAGAAGTCATGTAGCAGCTCTTCTAACCCTAAAAGCCAAATGGTTTGCTCCCCTAAGCTAAAACAATGGAAATAATGATGAACAATAGAGATCGTGTTAACGCAGAAATCATGCATTTTTATGCAAACAAAATGAAAAAAATGCATCATCAAAATTTTGATGTGTCCCCCAGGACACAAGATGTTGACTTGAAGAACTCACTCCACTTACTTTGAATCTTGAATAGATTTTGTTGTTTGAATGACATGTAAAAAATTTCAAACAAAGCAAATTTACATTATGGTTGCCATATTGGATTTAACTATGCAAAGGGGACTGGAGACGATTTACACATCCAGGAAACTTGAATGAGCTCTCAGCATGATTGTTTGTTGTTTGCTCGATTGTGCTGGTCGAGTGCCCACTTACATGTACCTGTAATATGGCAATGAACCGTGAAAAGGGAGGAAGACATAATCAGTTTTTAGACAAATTAATGGCTGAAACAGTTTGGATGGCTACAAACAAGAGGCTCAGGCGATGACTTATTGATGATTTGTAATAAGGATTGCACAAAAGCTGGAAAGAAGAACGCGTTCACAAGTGGATGCAAAAATTTCAATTTCAATTTTTTTCTTAGGGGAGGGTCACCAAGATTTTGGGACCCACCCAAAATGCTTGGGGACCCCAATTTGACCGGACATGTGGGTCGGAGGACCTAGATTAAAAAATCCTAGTGCCATCCCTGAAGAATATTGTGTTAATGTTTTCTCTGACCGATGAAAAGACACCTTATGAGCAGAGAGAGTCATACGGTTCAGTCAGTAGCCACGCAATCGATAGTTCATAAATTTCTTAAATGTTCCCCGGCGTGCAACAAGCCTGAAAGAGTATTAATGAGTTTATTGTGAGCTTTACGTCTTGCTTCGACCAGTTAAAGATTTAATTCTACACAGAAATTTAAAACAAAAAACAAAAAAGTCATCCTTGAAAACCGTCAGTCACCATAGAGAATGAATATATACGTCTTTTAAACTTGAGTTGTCAGCGTTTACCCAGGTCTTCCAGTGGATAGGGATGTTAACTTTTAGTTCTAACTGATTCTGAGGGTCCGGGTTAGAATTCCCTTGAAGCAAATTTTTCATAACCTTTTTTTTTTCTTTTTTTTTTTACATCTCATTTTTACTCTCTTTTTTACCTGTCTGGTGCATATAGCTAGTATAACATAATGTGGTAAATTGAAAGCAAAGTTTACAGGGATATAAAAAATGTGGTATGTACCATAGCGTATCTTAACTGCTATTTTTATTATAACTGGACACTGTTATTATTACTCAGCTCAATTGTCGGTTTTCACGTGCCTGATTTAATTCGAGAGGTAACTGCTTTGAGATGGGTTGTCTGAATCAACTAAATTTGACAGTTTCAAATTGAATACGACTTTGTTGAATTAGTGACTGAAATAGACTTAGGTTCAACATTTGATTTAGAAGTCGCATTTTACATGTGCCAAATATAATGCATTAATTATAGAAACCCATCCATATTGGATAAAAAAGTTTTTCTAGAGACTGGGAATATGAAGTTAAATTCGGTACCATCATAAATTTTGAATCACCCTGAAAAGTTACTCCTAATAGGGAGAGATCCTTATATGACGGGATACCACCAATGGGTGCACATTCCTTATTATTGTTTTTCTTTCTAAAAATAAGTTCCTTACATTTACTTGGATTATTTACACAACATGCTGTTATCTTTGGACCATGTTAAAAATTGATTTACTAGGTGCTGTGGTGATGTGTCACGATTGTACCAGACAGGTGCGACTAATGTAGAGTCACAGTAACAGAAGTGTGTCCAATTTCTAAATCATTAAGAAAAATATTAAACAAGTATGGCCCACTCACACTACCTTCTCTAGTGGTACCTTTGTTAACCAGTTTCCACGTTTTAGCTCAGGCATCCATAATCATGACTCTGTTCTGGCATCAGACCACCCCAACCTACATAGGTATTTGTAATTGCTGCGGAGCGACCGAAGGGAGCGAGCAGCAACATAATCAGGATTTAAAGGAAATATATAAAGGGGCGACGAATTCTCGAATTCATCACTTTTTACCACAATGCATTGCATTTAACCACACTTTTTACCACAATGCATTGCATTTAACCAGAGTGCATTGCGCCACGAACAACTCAAATAAAAACACGGGGAAGTAGTGCATCGTTCACTGCTCAGTTCTACAGCACGGTTAGAGGTCTTACCAAATTTTAAGACACGCAGGAGTCTTTCAGATGAGGACGATGGTTTTAACTTGGGGAGTGGATTTCAATTCAAGAGCATTTGACTCGTCCAGGTGTTAAACCTGACGAGAAGATGAGCATTTGCTCTTCGACTCCGCAACACGGGGGATATACAAATTCCAGCTTGCTAGAAGGTGATGTGAAAGTGAGAAAATGTCATATAATGCTATTCTTAAGAAACTGTATGAGCCGAAAATGGATGTGATTTTACCATTCGCTTCAAAATAACAGCGGAAATCGAGATAACAAAACATATGTTTTGTGTCCTACTTTGCAGACCAGGACGTGTATCGGCATTTTGAAAAGCATAATTATGTTCTTTCATTCATTCATTGCCATGGAATATGCGTTTACATTGTTTTTTCACTGTTAATTAAGCTCGGTTAACGCGGCTGGCGATCATCTTGCCGGCAGAAGTTTCATAGAAAAGGAATAGAATGAAACACTTTTCCCAGTAATTACGTAATCAGCCTCTGTGGTGTAGTGGTTAGGTGTAGTCGCGTCGAGTCGAAGGTGCTGGGTTCGATAAATATATAGCTAAATAACTGTTACTTAAAAAAGTGCAACAAACAGCAAGAAAAGTATTGTGTTTCCAGAGAAAATATCGTGCACTGTATATAATAAATATCTGGATAATCAATGTCAATTTCTATTATTTCCTACAATTTACTGTGGGAAAACCAGAGTTGATAACCACTTGATCATTTTCTAAACAACGTTCCCACGAGTTCTTTCTATAGACTGATAGTAATTATTCTAGTAATTTCCAACATGTAAATAGGGCATTCAATGTCATTTTTGATTCCTTTAAGTCTCACTGCCTAACAAATTCCAGTATCAACAGAATGTGCCGCAGCATTACTATCTTTTAGATACCCTAGTAAGTATTTTCAGTGTTTCATCTGTTACCGTAAACTCTGCAAATGAGTTGCACTCCTGTCCCTCTAGGACAAAATTTAAAGCTGTGGGAAAAAGAAGACTCATGATGAATCACACAGGTTTAATTCAAAATATCCAAATTGCTACAAACATCATAGACCTCAGCATTCAGGGATCACTTGGGAAAATTTACCAAAAATCATAAGATCTTAATAACTGACAGAAGTAGTGATCCTATTTTATGCAACATTTGCCAAAACAATGTTCATCTGGAAGGGTATCACCCAGAATGCTGAGTTTGTCTATTTGCACCATTTTTCTAATAGCCTGTATGGCTGGTACAAAAGGGGAAAAAAAGAGGAGAAAACCTCCAATCCCCTCCTGTTTTTTTCCTTTCCTCCCCAACCCTTTTGATGCTTTTCCACCTCACTTCTACATGTATGTACATGTTAGGCCTGGCCCACTGCTCTCCTTAAAATGTCCAACATAAAAATGCAAATTATGATTCTTACTCCACTGGCACCAATAGTTAATTGGGGATAGCCTGCCTGGCAGGCGTTGAAAAGGGAAGGGAAAAGGGAAAATCCTCATAGTTCCGATAGTAACCCGCATGGCTCTACATCATGCTGAGGGAATATTTATTTCTAACTTATTTGATCAAGGATCACTAGGTTATCAGAAATTAATTACCATTATTTTTGTCTTTCTTTAAGCTATGCCATCATCATTTTGCCAGACTTGATGTTTACTTTTCTTTTACAGAGTGGAATGTTTCATTCAAAGTATTGCTGTGCAACAGGAGGATCAAGCAGTGGAGGTCTGAGTCCCGGCAGCATTCTACTAATCATGTAAGGCTAATTAACAGGCCTGGGCTACATACAGTATCTCAAGTTTTACGGAGATCAAGCTTTTTAACCCAATCCACTTTGCCATTTTAGTTGATCTGATTGTTGTTCCCAAAAGGACACCTTAGTTGAGCATGCACATTTAAGTATTTATTGTGATATAATTCCCAAAAGTCATCCCTTAGCATAATTGCCAAATTATTAAGACTCTTGTTGTGAACGTAAGCTGAGACTGGCCGGAATTTTGGATGGCTCTGGTCGTGTTCACCACACTGTAAATGACTTTAGGAAATCCTTTTGCAGATGTGTCCATTATTCCAGTGCGTAACCCATTGGCTTTTTATTGATATTTTGGTCAAGAATTTTAGAACTTAAACCTTAGCTTTGCTTGTCCGTGATTACTAAAAGCCTTTATATGTTTCATTTTTAAGAAAGAAAGGCATTCAACAGACAGAAAACTAATGTAGGCTTGTTTTCTTTACAGATTTTTCCCCCTGCTTCTTATGTATTTTATCATTGGAATTCTTGTAAACCGTTATGGACGAGGAATAGAAAGCATGCCAGAGTTAATACCCAATTATTCTTTCTGGGCTGATATTCCTTTCCTTGTGAAGGTAAATACTGACTTCTGTTAACCCTTTAAAGGGGCTGTGTCATGGCAGTCCAGTTCGTTTTGTTTAATTTTGCCAAGTGCTTTCCCTCAGTCACTATTTAATTTAAAGTAAGCAAAAGAAATTACAAGTAAATGACAAAATTAGAGATCCAAGGCAAACAAATATGTCTCCTGAGTATTATTTTTGAGGTTGCATGCAGCAGGGATCAACTTTGAAAAACTGTTAGGTTGAACAGTTTTCAAAAACCCTAATTTCAACCCTAATTTTTAATCTTCTTCAGTTTTGCCCATCCGTGGCATCTGTTGTTTCTGTTATGTTATTTTAACCTTCCTTTAAAGTTTTAAGCGGTTATTTTTATGTTTCTCTTAATGTAACGGGCACTTTGTAATTTCCCAATTTGGCTGAATTTCGTGACACAGCTCCTTTAAGTGTCACTGTCTGAGAAAGTGTTCCAGGGTTCAAAAGTTGTAGTCAACCGATTTGGCTGAAACTTGGCACTCTGACATAATTTATGGTTTTGGAGTTTCAGGGAGGTCTTATTTTTTGCCCTTTGAGCACCAAAAGTCCAGCCTTCCGGGGGACATTTTGAAAGTGCAATAAAACACCATTGGTAAATTGTGCTGCCAAATGAATTTGACCATAGACTCTACTATAACAGAGCTTTCAGTTCATGCATGTAACTTTGTCCTCAAGGTACTGGACAGAGAGGAGCTTGGGGCTAGAGTTTGGCCAAATTTATGTCACAATTATTACACCCCAAAACTGCCATTTTTCAAAATTTCAGTATATTTACCAGCCTTCTTGTATAACTTCCATACCTATAACATTATTTACTTTAGTCACCAAATGATCAAAGTCATTTGAGAAAAATTTGGCTCATTAAGGTTACATGCATTAAGTAAACTGGTTAGGGGGGGGGGGGGGGGGGGGAGGCAGAGGAAATTTTTTAAAGGGGCAAAACTTTTTAAGATCCCCTCACAGCATACAGAATTTTTTGACACCCCCCAAGCATGCAAGAACTGAAAGCTCTAATAGCGGGGCTCCCGCGCGCGAAGCGCGCGTGGGACAGAGCCCCATACCCATGGAATATGGTCAACCTCTTTTCGTTTGGTTGTCACGTGATTGACCGAGCGTACGTACGTACGTACGCGTCTACAGATTGTATGGGTGGGGTAGGGGAGACTATCAAAAGGAAGGGAGGGGTGTCTCAGGCGTGTCTTGGCAAGCCCACATCTTTAATATAGGACATTAACAATATGGTCAATTGACAGCTGTCCAAACAGGATAGCCACTGACCAGTATCCCATGACCATATCGCCTGCTCATGTGTCAACTCATCGAGGTGACGTGATTTATTTGGAAGCTGTCCGCTGACCAGTTAACTGTTTTACTAGATCGCGAACAACGTTCAATCTCATACTTTTACTAGTTTGGGAGCACAGGAAAACTGATAATGCACACATATTGGACATCAATGTTTTGATCAATTGACAGCTGTCAAAACAGAGTACCCGCTGACCAGTATCACTTGACCGTATCGCGGGCTCAGGTGTCGACCTGTCGAGGTCAAGTATTTTTTGAAGTTATCCGCTGACAAGTAAACTAGTTTTCAAGTGATCGCAGGCTCAAGTTCAATTTTTTTTCTTAATTCATATGACATATGTTGTGTTTATGTGCTGCACAATTAAAATTTTGATTGCAAACTGACCTCGGACGTGAAAATTCAGCCAGCTGTTACAGGCAGGAAGACAGTTGCTTTTGTTTTTCTCACAATGGTCACGCGTTGGTCACGCTCTACGTCCAATTTTTATGCTCTGATTGGTCAAAATTTGACATGTGAGTTCATGCGCAAAATTTATGCAGCATCTTGAATCTTGTTTACTTTAACAGCTGAAGCTGACAGAGTTTTGTGTCAACTTGTGATGTTTTTAACTGTCTTTTTCCACTGGATGTACAAAATGAAATTCAGCTGCTATCAGGAGTCTTCTGTTACTCATGGCTAGTTTGTTTATTGGGTTTTTGGTTGAGAAAACGTCGCTTGTCAAAGTCGGAAATCCGATTTCGGATGGCATCGTTTTCGTTTTCACCTTGCTTGATGCGTAAGAGGATTGCAAAGTCTGAAGCGATACTGGCTTTACCTGATAACTTTCAGGAGCTGCATCTCGAATGGTAAGCCAGAGAAATTATTGTATTTCATGTTTGTTTTTTGTATCTAATTTAATGAAGTGGAGCGTAGTTTATGCGGGAATTTAGTTTATGCGCGTTTGTAAGTTTTGAGACAACGATCTCACCGAGTATCTGGTTTGATATAATCTTACAGAACTTTAAAAAGCCTTTAGACAGTTTCTCACCGCAAATAGAAAGAAAATGTTCCAAAGAATCTTTAGTTATAATTCTAGCCGGAAAAGAAAGCTTTGAGCGATTTTCTTGCCTCGAGTTCGTCTTTGAAAAAAACAAACACCGGGAAGCTGGCTTAAAACATAAACTTCAGCAAACTTAAGCTTGAAGCTTGAAGACTCAGGATATTTAGGGACACTTTAATACTTGTCTTCCTGAATGAAAATTGTTGTCTCTGTTTATGTTTCACCGAATTATATTTCTTTTATTGATTGTTGGTAGTCTCTCTTGCAATTTTAATCGCTATGCCGATTGTTTTCAGTCGTTCAGTGAACATCGCTTGCAGGAGTTCTCAAAATGCCGCGCGTTAAACCATCAAAAAAAAAAAATAAACATGATAAATTCTTTATTATCTTGGAGCGTAACTCTGTTAATGTTCATTCAAACACTCGCTAGAGCTCGCACTACAAAAGTGAGAACCGGATGGTCGTATAGGTGATTTTGGAAAACTTTTTTAACAGTTTATGAATATTGAATGAGAGCAATTTGTATTGTGAAATACTGCTTTCTGTCCATGGTATAAAAGGTTGGTTTACACGCACCCAGATTTGTTGGCAAGATTTTGCAAAGTAAACTTGTCGAACGCCAAAACGTTGGCCTGATTTTTTTTCTAAGCCTAATTGATCTACGGTGATCAATAGCCATTACGGCTCTTAAATGTGATAAAAGATGATTACCAGTTTTTGAGTGTACATATGAGGCTATCAACTCGATGTAAGATTTGGTTCACTCTTGGGCTGTTTGCAAATTATTTTTCTCTAAAATCAGGTAGCCTTTCCCTCAAAAGTCACATAAATGTGCTCGAAAGTTAACTGAATTGTGGAATTCGAATACAAGTTTATTGTTTAATTTAAATTATAAATTTACTAATGGGAGCCTCGCTTTTAGCCCTGGCTAAATCTATATATTATAGTAGACTTCATGGTCAAATTCATTTGGCAGCTTAATTTACCAATGGGATTTTATAGGCATCTCATATTTTTCCCTTTTTTGCTCGCGGGTAACAAAGGAAAAAGGCTGAGACATCCGCAGGCTAAGGTAGTAAAAAAATATGGCTAATTTCAAGCTCCTTAGTAAATGAAAAGAATGTAATAAATGTCATGATGTTTGTAGTCGAGGTTGTGAAGTCGCAATCGCCAGGCCGAGGGCGCTCTATTCCTTGAACTTTAGAGACACTTACAGACAGTTTACAGAGAGCAAGAGCATTTTCTGGGTTCACATATGTCGTGTGTTGTTGATACTTCCAAGATCATTCAGTTATGTCAAATGCGCACTTTGTGCTCAGGTGATAAAGAAAAATGGCAAATTTTGAATTCGATGTTCGATGAATGGTGAAATGATTGTCATGTCACGAACGTGGAGAAGAAGTGTTATGTCTAAAAATCTAAGTTCTAAAAAGAGGAGCATCCCTTGGGGTTAGGCTGCAAAAAATCCCCAATTTTGCGTTCGTCAAGAACGCAGGCAGTCGAAAAAAGGGCCTGGAGCAAGGGTAAAAAGGGCGAGCAAGACAGGCGATGAAGAAACGCGCGCTTACCTTGAAAACCAATTTTGTGATAATTAAACCGACTGTTTTGTAGCCTGTTGGGGGCTAATTCCCCTTTAAAAATGACGGTGTGCCCGTCAAAACTTTGCAAAGTGTACATCCTAAAGATACCAGAATTTCGTTTTGTTAGTTGGTGAAGTCCAAGGTTGCTTTCATCCCTTAGAAATGCCTTTGTAAAGAAACAAATCGAGTGAGAGTGACAAATTGTCACCACGATTAACACCAACAAAATTCTACATAAGTTTGAAATTGATGAAGTTTAATGAACTTGTATCTCCGTTCTTCCTTCATCAAACGGCTTGAAATAGAGCCAAACTAAGTGTATCAAGCGCTTGATGGCCGCTTAATAGAGGTGACAACAATGGGAGAACTCTTGTTGGGACGGCAAAAAGGCGGCCGTGGCCAGTTTTCTACAATAGGGACTTTAAAATCCAACGACGCGACGGCAAAGAGAACGTCGCTTAAAAAGTGAATTTGCGTTCCTTCAGTCTTTGTAGCGACTATTCCTACCCACTTACTTTGTCAATTGTAGGCGAGCCCTCCTGAAGCTGAATTTCAAGGGACCATATCCAAGCTCTGAGAAAGAGAAGTAAAATTTCGTCGTTGCTTGTTTACATCCTCCATAAAACGCAAAATTAGGCATTTTCACGTCGTAGTCGTGCAAAAACAGGAAAGAAATGTACAAAAAAGCGTGATGCACGTGCAAAGTTGTTGTTTTGCTTATTAAACCAATTGTTTTTTTTGACGTTCTCGTTGCCGTCCGCGTCGTAGGGAGCTTAATAGGGACTTAAAGATCCAACGACGCGGACGGTAACGAGAACGTCAAAAAAACAATAGGTTTTATTAGCAAAACAACAACTTTGCACGTGCATCACGCTTTTTTGTACATTTCTTTGCCCGTTTTTGCACGACTACGACGTGAAAATGCCTAATTTCGCGTTTTATGGAGGACGTAAACAAGCAACGACGAAATTTTATTTCTCTTACTGTACTTGGACATGGTGCCTAGGAATTCAACTCCAGGAGGGTTCGCCCACATTTGACAAAGTAAGTGGATAGCAATAATTGCGATAAAGACTGAAAGAACGCAAATTCACTTTTTAAGCGACGTTCTCATTGTCGTCGCGTCATTTGATCTTAAAGTCCCTAATAGAGAGCTTAAGCGACGACGACGCGGACGGCAACGAGAACGGCAAAAAAGCAATAGGTTTGATTAGCAAAACAACAACTTTGCACGTACATCACGCTTTTTTGTACATTTCTTTGCTGTCGTTGCCCGACTACAACGTGAAAGTGCCTTAATTCACGTTTTGTCGAGGACGGGAACACAAGACGACAACTTTCTTTTCTTTTCCTGAACTTTGATAGAGTTGTTTAGAATTCAACTCCAAAAACATTTGCCAACATTTGACGAAGTAAACGAGATGGAATAAGCGCGATAAAGTTTGAAGCGGTGCGAATTCACTTTTTAAGTGACGTTTTTGTATCCGTCACCGTCGTTGTTGCTTAAGCTCCCTAATCAACGACGACGGCGACGGTACGAGATCGTGACTTAAATAGTGAATTCGATCTGCCTCGAACTTTTTCGTCCTTATTCCAGCTCGTTTAATTCGTCAAATGTTGGCAAATTATTTTTGGAGTTGAATTCTAAAGGAATTTATCAAAGTTCACGAACAGAAAAAGAAAGTTGTTGTCTTGTGTTCCCATTCTCGACTAACCTGAGATCAGGCCCAATTTTAGCGGTTCTCATACGTTCTCTCTAACGGTTGTTCGTTTCACCCTACCCACCGGAATGTTATTACAGAGCGAAACGAAAATTGAGCCTGATCTCAGGTTAATCCTCGACAAAACGTGAAATTAGGCACTTACACGTTGTAGTCGTGCAACGACGGCTAATAATCGTACAAAAAAGCGTGATGCACGTGCAGAGTTGTTGTTTTGCCAATGTAAGGCTATTGCTTTTTTGCCGTTCTCGTTGCCGTCGCCGTCGTCGTTGCTTAAGCTTCTTATTATAATTTCAAGACTTATGGACTATTGGAGGTTCAACTGTATAAAGGTGATGTTACACGAGACGAATTTTAGCGCAATGCAGCGTGGCAACAGTGCTGCGACATTAGGGCCATTTATACGAGGAAAAATAAGACGCGTCTTACATAAGACGCGTCTTAAATAAGACGCGAACTGTACCATTTATACGAGCATGTCTTATCTAATAAGACGCGTCTTAGCAAGCCGCGTCTTATTTTAAACGAAATGTGCCGTTTATACGGAAAGTTCGTGTCTTATTTAAGACGCGTCTTATGTAAGACGCGTCTTATTTTTCCTCGTATAAATGGCCCTATTGTTTCGAATGGTTATAACATTGTTCCAACATTCCAACGCTGTGTTGCGCTAAAAATTGTCGTTGCGAACCGTCCCGTGTAGCATCACCTCGAGAAATGCCTGACATGTACTAGAGCTACAATCCTGGACAAAACTACTTAAGAAAATGTTTTCATTAATGCGCACTACCTAACGCAACAAAACTATTTCCAAATCAACGGCTTTGCGTAAAGAAAACCCCCTCCCCCAGTTCAAAGTTGCTTCCTACAAATGCTTAGGGATCCCTCTTTCTTTGGAAGACCAAACAACACTGCTTCCAGGGGGAGGGGGTGGGGGAGGGAAGAATCGGTCGGTTACGAAGTTTAGAAAAAATTCCCCCCAAGTGTGCAATTTTCTCAACAGTTTTGTCCAAGATTGTACCTGCGTATTAGCTCACGCCTTGTTTGACGGTGAAGTTGAAACGATAGGGAGCATGTATATTAGAGACGATATGTTTCCATTTTCTCAAAATAACTAGTTACTCACTAGCAGTGCAGTGCAGGCGTATTATGGGCGGGCGAAAGCTGCTTGTTTATGTTCGTACTGTTGTAACCGCCATCTTTGATGTTATGACGGAAGAAGATGAGGGAGAGTGAAAATAGTAACCCTTAGGGTAGGTGCTAGGGCGAAAGGAGGAAAGGGGGGAGGGGAGGGGAGGGGAGAAGAAAATAAGCTGTTTTCTCTTCTCTCTCCCCGCCCCATTTTCTCCTTTCTTTCCGAGTTCCAATATGGCGCTTTCGCGAGCAACGTCTGGCGCCCGAAGAAAACGCCTGTACTGCAGGCTAGTTACTCACTGTCCAACTAGCTCATTACTAGCCTGTGTAATTAAAAGTTTCCAGTGCTTGAAGAATTTTTTCATGCCATTTTTTTTTGTCCAATATTATTATTTCCTTTTTTTTCTTAGGATGGAGTTGTATTCACATATGACCGTATAAAGACCACTTGTGCAGGGAAGTGTGGTAAAAGTGGATATGCAGAGATATAAACTATGAATAAACGTAGGTTAAATTTGCTATTGGCAGCTTTTTTATATAAGAAAATCTTTCCTGATGAGCAATTATTTTATTTAATCTTTTTTATTATGTTTTTTAGGAATTTTGAATCGATGAAATTTAGCTAGGAATTACAAAGATAAATAGAAACAAATAATTAAATACATCGCAGACTTGTTCCCAGTCCTCAGTTATTTGTTAAGTGAGGTGTTAAAATTAGCTTTGCGAGGATATTGGGAAGATCGAACGAATAGTAAGGACGCTTCCCCCGGATCGGTCAGACTTCCCTCGCGTTCTCATCAAATTTGCTCTAGAAGCGCATGGGAACGAGCGTAAATCTCGCCTACGAAAAAGAGAGAAGTGTGACGTCACGTCACCATGGTAGCAAAATCTTCGGATGTCAAAAATATCTTTCTTGGCCGAGACAGCAATTTGCACTGTCGAACGATTGTAGAAATGTATCGGCTACCGTTTTGTTCCTGAGTGCAAGCATGAACGGGAAAGTCGTGGTAGTGTTACCTTTTTCGTTTTATTTTTTGCTGCCATATTTGCCGGACATAATTTGTTGAGATCCAGAAGTTGTGCTACCATGGCAACGTGACGTAACGCCTTTTCCTCTCTATTGCACGGGGTCTCGACCCCCCAGCCGGGTTCAGAGAGCTTACAATACATGCAACCTAACCTGGTGCTCTTTAGAGTCATAACTTTTACGGCTGTTTCGTGCTTGCAGTTAGTCGCAATAATGATGAAAGTAGTGCACGCGCTTTTACTGGTCGCGACTGACCATAACCGCAAGCACGGAACAGAATAAGTCAAGGCCGCGCTGACGGCGCGGTCAAATGAAGAAAAAAAAAGCGAAAGTTAAGATTATCATTTTCACTGCAAAGTTTACTCTGATACCAATTCATTGTTCCAGGGGCCCTGTATTGTTTATTTACTAACTTTCTGAAAGTATACTGCAACTTACTGCAAAAGATCTAAGCTTTAAAACTAAAAATGCAAAATTGTGGGTGCTATTTGCCAAAATAATTTTGCTTGGCTGCAAAGAGTTTTTGTCAAAAAGAAGCTCATATTGTAATTGTGAGGGATTTGAAAAGACAGCTAGATTAACTATTGTATAAAGCTTTGACCATGTTTTCATTTAACATCAAATTAAAACCCGCTAGGCAAAGCAGGTGGAACGGTCCCATATTCGTCACGGTCAATTCCTTATGTTCTTAAATTCCATGTATTACCGCTGTTACGTTTTGCCTTCTTTAACGGATCAAAACAGATTCAGATTTAGTTCAAAAGAATCCGTAGCAGTTCTTCAATAATTTAAGATTTAGTATTGAAATTTAAATTAAAATTTATGCTTGACTTGTGCGAGTTAGGTCTGTTTCAAACGTCGTGCTACTGCCGTGCCGAACTCAATTGATCAAATTAAATTCGACTTTTATAGCACGGCATTAGCGCGACGTTTGAAACCAAGTTGTGCTACCGCCGTGCCGAACTCGATTCATAAATTATAAATACATTAGAATACATTTAAACGTTTGCCAAACCGTTTCTTTATTTTTGTGTTTTGTTTTCGGCAACAGCCGTTTTATTCGACTGAATTAAATTCGACGTCTGAAACCAGGTCGTAGTAGTGTCGTGCTGCAGTCGAGCCAACTTAGCGCAAAAGTAGCACGACGTTTGAAATAGGCCTTAAGCTTTTGTACATTATTCGCCTGGGAAACTGCCCACCTACCCCTCCCTTAAGTCAACATTAACACTTACTTCTCACGTTGGGCAAAATTGTGACTTAGGGGAGGGATAGCTGGGCAGTTACGCAGAAACCTCAAATGATATTCTAGCCTTTTTGCGAGGCAAAACATTCAGCATTATTCCAGCATTTTAATAGAATTTTCCCTGAAAATTGATTACAAAAGCCTCTGTATGATATGAGCATTTTAGTGATTTTTTTTTTTGGGGGGGGGGGGGGGTGGGGGAGGGAGGGGATATCGAGCGTTTTAAGCGGGGAAACAAAAGCATACTGCAGAAAAGCCAAGTGAGTACGCTCTTCTTGGAGAAGCTGTAACAGAGTCAGAAAGTTACTCGGCAAGATTCATCTGAAGTTTATTCTTACGAAAGTGCGTGTTTACAGGAGAAAGCCGGTTTACTTTCTTTTAATAGGGAGCTTAAGCAACGACGACAGCGACGTTAACAAGAGCGGCAAAAAGCAATAGGTTTAGATTGGCTACACAGCAACTCTGCTCGTACATCACGCTTTTTTGTACATTTCTTTTCGGTCACTGCAGGACTACGACGTGAGAGTGCCTAATTTCACGTTTTGTGGAGGACGTGATCACAAGACAATGAGTTTCTTTTTCTTCTCTTGAACTTCGATACAGTTTATTAACTGAACGGGATGGAAGAAGTGCGATAAAGTTTAAAGCAGAGCGAATTCCCTTTTTGTTTGACGTTTTCGTAGCCGTCACCGTCGTTGTTGCTTAAGCTCCCTAATAATGCTCTGTTACTGACTTTTGTATCCGTTTGTAAAATAATAGAAAGATGAGGTTAATGTTTGTAAGTCACTCTAAAATAAAGTATCAAAATTCGTATTTGATTGTTACCTAATATGATTGTTGTCTTACTGTCATATAGTCTCCCTCGCAGCCCTTTTTGTCTCATCACGCAAGGAGCGTTGCGTGACGAGACAAAACGACTGCCGGATGGAGAGTATCCGATGATTACTAGAGGTAATTTGTGATTTTTGAGTGCAATTGGAAACTGGTGATATAATCCTTTTTTTATCGTCTGTTGGCTTTATTTCTCCACGCACAGCCCTATGAGTAAGACCTCAGGCGTGAGTCAAAATATTGGCGTCACCTCCTTAACAACCCTAGGTGTGATACAGGAGCCAATTGGTGTGATACCAAAATCTGCAACATATAGCCCATATAGCGTTTTTTTTTTCTTTCGCGTTTTTCAGGAGAGCCAGGGCAAGCGCGAAGCGAGCGTGGAACGCGGGAAACGTCCATTGTTTGTTCCATAGACCTTTGTCACACAGCGGCCATTTTGTCTCAGGAGAATTAAAACGCTTTGTTTATGCACGACAAGCCTTGTTCTCTCTACCAGGCTAGCCGTGCATAAACAAAGCGTTTTAAATCTCCTGAGACAAAATGGCCGCGGCGTGACAAAGGTGTGGCCCCACTAACTCGCCTTCCCCGCGGCTCGAGGAGGAGAAAACCCCGGGAACGAAGTTGATCAAAATCTTAGTGGCGATGATTTTGCTAACAGTTAGACTTTTTTTTTCCTTAGCTCACAAATAACGTAAAGGAACAAAATAAATTCAATTTTAATTTACTTTGATTGTCTTTCTAATATCATGTGTGATGTTGCTAACAATTCTACACCTGAAATATTCCAGCGAGACTTAACTAGGATTTCTGAGGTGTACTCATATTCTACCCGACCGAATACTCAAGGTTTGAAAAAATGCGTGGTTCTTTTCTCAGAGTTGCTCCAAAAATCTTGAATTCTTTACCCTCGCTGAGAAACTTACCAAAATCTACCTTTCGAAAAAGATAAGGAATAAGCTCTTTGAAATTTTATCTAAATCTGATGACTATCTCGAAATCACTGAAATCATTCATCAATTTAAATTAAACTAGCTCAGGAACACGATTCATGCTATAATTCCTATTTTACGCGCGATAGCTGGTACTGTTTGTAAAATATTTCTTTTTTTTCCTTTCCTTGCTTTTAATTTGTGCGTCTCTTTCCCCACCTCGATTAGGCTCTTCAACCTCGTCCCCAGGGCTTTTCCCTTAAAAAATGGCCCCACCCATTTTTTTAAGGGAAAAGCCCTGGGGACGAGGTTGTAGGCTCTTCTATATGGAGGTGGAAGCTATTGTGAAACTGTAAATTGTATGTGTGAATGAATGAATAAAGTTGAAGTTGAAGTTGAAGTTAATTACAATACCATGAGCTAACCCCTTAAAAACATCAGGATTGGCGGACGATACTTGTACGAAGACCTCTACACCCTTGCTTCATACCTTTTCTTGTCCGAGACTTAAGAAAACGTAGATATCTCTTCTCAGAATTTTGACAAAAGACACAGCTCGGTGCTTTTTTTAATCATAGTTTTCACAAAAACCTTGCAACGCACTGGCGCCTAAGCTGGGTGACGGTGACACCCAAGTAGGAGTCACCACGACAGCGGTAATCAGGGCCATTCACGATTTGAGATACCAGGTCTACATGGGTCAGAGGTAGAGAAAAAAAGGAAACAATTCAACAAGAAGATAAAAAATTTGGAACGCTTCACGATTATGCGTGTCATCCTTGCGCCAGGGGCCATGCTAATCTTCTCTGTATCGTTCCAATTTTATTATACGTGCCGCGGTTAAGCGAACACGGTAAATTTATGTCGCAAACGCTTTATAAATTAGACGCAAACAAAAAGTTCTCAAACTTGTGGGGTCAGAATGTTCTTAAAACTACGCATTTATCCTACGCATGCGCATGGATAAAGCGAGAGCATCCTAATGGGTCTTTTCAAAAAATGTTTTAAGTTAGTTTGAAATTTGAAAAAGTTTGAAATCCACCCGTCTTTTCCCAAGGCTAGTAAAAATCTTTTCTCTTAAACTGAAACGATTTATTTTAGTATCTACGATTCAAATGTCAAGCGGTTCTGCCCTAACTCTTGCTCCAACTCTCACTTGACGCTAGCGTTTTGCATCGCAATACAAACGACTAAGCAGTTCCAGCGTGAATATTTTTTTGGGGGAGATGGGTTGGGGGGGTAGTGGTTTGTTTCTACTTTGCTTGTCTTAGAAAACACCGTTTAGGGGACATGGTGATTTTTCTAATCAATTTATGCCCTGAAACTAGTAAGAGTCAAGATCAAAAAACGTCTCGAAGACGTCGATGACGTCATCTAGACCTTATGGTTACGTACACGGTACATTCGTCCAGCGGTTTCCTTCCTAAGGGACATTTCCAAGATGGCGGCTGTGAGGTAGCGTTTTTGCGTTTGTGAGCGCAAACAATTTGTGGCAATTTGTGAATGTATCATCCTTCTTGGAGACACAGCCACATCATAATCACATAAAATGAACAGAAGCAGTGGTTGTAAAGGTGCGTCAAAAGTTAATTCATCAACTATGAACTTTTTTCAAGTTTTATATTCGTCTAGATGGCCTGCAGGCTGAAGCGTGTGGGATCGAGAGCGTCGTGTTCCAAGTGGTAGAGTTAGAAATAAATGCAAAGTAGAGCAAGAGTTAGGACTCCTGGTATTGAGATTAAGTTAGGGATCTTCCACATATCCACTTTTTCCCCGCTGAACGTCAACTGAATGTCTAGGTAATGAGACATCAAAAGTATCCTCAATCAACTCGTTACATGTATTTTCATTTTTTTTTGCTTCAGGCTTGTTGAAGACTATAATATGGCAGATGTCAAAGTCTTTACCAGGCCTACAAGGGTGTGATTGCCGCTTGCAGCGTTCATTAGTTGTTTATCAGTGGTCAAGAAAACTGAATAATTATGCCTTTTTCCCATCTTCTACTCAACGCACAAGTCAACAAGTCACATTCTTTCCGTCTAGATTTGCTAAGATTTCCTGGTTGTCCAGTTTAAAAGTTTATCCCTTGTCATCTCGCCTTTGTTTTTCGAGCAAAGGTGAGAGCCATAAATTTCAAGAAAATAACACAGTAACTTTAAAGAAAGACACTAATTCACGGCTTTCAGACTCTATGTCCAAGCTGAGTCACATTGATAGCAAAGGTCGGGCACAAATGGTAGATGTTGGCGCAAAGAAAGATACAAGTAGGATTGCTGTGGCATCAGCTAAAGTGTACTTAGGTCCTGAAGCTTTTCACTTGGTAAAAGAAAACAAAATTCAGAAAGGTGATGTATTGACTGTTGCTCAGTTGGCAGGGATAATGGCATCTAAGTTGACTGCAAACCTTATTCCTTTGTGTCATAATATTAGCATAACCCACTCCAAAGTCAATTTGGAGCTGGATGATGAGAACTTCACTGTGTGCATTACAGGATCAGTTAACTCAGTTGGGAAAACAGGAGTAGAGATGGAGTCACTGACTGCTGTTACTATAGCTGCATTGACTGTATATGACATGTGCAAAGCTGTGTCACGTGAAATTGTCATCTCAGACATTAAGCTTTTGAGAAAAAGTGGAGGAAAAAGTGGCGATTATCTTGCTCCTTAAATTTAGGAAAATATATACACTGGTTTAAAAAACCTTGCATTCTGATTTCCTGATTTGCTTGTTATGTATCTGTTCATCGATAACAAGAAGAATAATTGATATTGGTGTTTTCAAATAAACACATCACAAAAAAGCTCCTATATTTAAAAAGACCTCAAGCAATAATAATTTTTTATTGCATTACTGGCTTTGGTGAGTGACCTCAGGGCTTTGATCCTAACCAATTAACTACCAAAAGATATTTCAAATTAAAAACCTCTTTGGAGGAGCCTAGTTGACAACATGATAACAAAACTTAGGTATTTACCTGAGGGTTATGATATTTCAACCTAGGGGTGACTTAGAGTAAAAACGTAAAAGGATTAAGATTGCTGAGTAACATTTACAACCAAGGAGAATTAATTTTCAACATTGCTTTTAGAAATAAAAAAAACATATGCTCTTTTTGTACATGATTGCTTAATGATGAACCTAAATAAGTTAGAAACATATAAATGCATCACAATCTGAGGGCAGGGTCCTTCCCAATAATAACTACATGTATATTTGGTTGCATAACAGGATTGTGCATGAGTGCATTCCCAGGGGAAGCACTCCAGATTCAAGTGACAGGGATGATCGAATGGGGCCAAAAGTCCCATGCCGAATTTCTGAGCCTTAAAAATCTCCAGAAAGGAAAACAAGTTTGGTTGTACTGTAATCTCAAAACTATGCAGCTGAGATACACAGGCACCATCACGAATCTTCTGATTGTTCTGAATGGCCAAAAAAATCCCTACTTAAATCAAGCCACCAAAAATAATACTTGCCAAATTTTACTACCCAAAAAAACCCGGAATCAAAAATTTCAAACCCAAAAAAATCCTTCAATTATCCCTGTCACTTGAAATCCAGAATACCTCCTGGGGGTGCATTTAAAGCGGGGCCAAGGGGGCACCTCTCTCCCCTACACTTCCCATTTGTCTGAAATTGAGCTTAAATTTTTAAAACCTTTCTTCTAGAGCTATTTTTTTAAGCACCGTCTAATGTTCTTTAACCAATAAATAGATAGTATTTAAAGCTGGAGCTGATAAGTCTCCCAGACCCCTCTTTCTGAATTTTCTGGATCCATCGCTGTTATGATCTTGGGGCTACTTCTATAGAATGTCATATACTTATGTTAATTAACAACATTCCTTTGAATGGGGTATAACTTTTAAAATGCATGGAAGTGTTACAGTATCAGCAGTTAACCCTTAAAGTTCTAAGAGCGATTAACATCGATTTTCTCTTAACAATATCGATATTTAGGCATCATAGGTGAAGGGTTAAGAAAACTAATGAGACTAATTAACTATTCTTTATGAAAATGTACAGGAAACAGTCTGGAGAAGGGCTGAAAGAGTTAAACAGCTGATCAATAATCTAGACAGAGGTAAATATAACTTGGCCATGGGGTATCACTTGAAATTCATTTTGAATGCAGAAAATGGTGGCACATCAACTCAAAGTGAGGCCTTTTTTCCCTTTCAACATGCCTTCCATGAAAAAATTTGTTTGTCGAAGCGTCTCACTCTTACAGAGACAATTTGCTGCAAAATTTGGGCACAATCAGTGCCCAAGAATGCAAAAAAAGTCCACTTCTGGTTGACATACTTCACGCAAAAAAGCCTTTGCTTGTTAAGCTCCCAAGGATTGTACTTATTTTTCATCACATCTGAATTATAATAGTACAAAATGGAAAATAACTGTTACGGAACGGAGAAGGGTTGAAGGATGCAAGGAAAAAAGGCCCAAGTAGATGGTGATAGACTGTTAAATTCTCCATTCAAAATGCCCTGTATTCCTTGTCAAAAAAGAGGGAGAATTTGACATCAGATCAAGAGTCAACTATTCAAGGATTTTTTCCCCCTGCACCCCTTCAATAATAAATAATTGAAGTCAAATATCTATGTGTTTTTAAGTGTAAACAATAACACAGAACTACTCTTGTACATTGTAGTTCCAAATATGTAAGGTTGTAACCTTAAACTACTCAGATATTTATAATTGAAAGATTTTAGAGACCACTTCTGTGGTCAGTCATAGAAGAAGAAAAAGAGATGAAAATCCACTTTAGTATGCTTCTACACAACTTTATTAAGCAACTGGCTTAAGACATTTCCTACATATTGCCACTGACATTTTAAATTCTACAATCTGTGGTTGCAGAAAATATCCATACCCATTCCACAGAGGGTCCCCTGGGGAATTCTAAGGAGTAGTGGGTCCTAGAGGCAAAACTGTTTATAGGACAGAACAAACCTTATGCATCATTTTCAGAGAGGCAAGAGGATCAAAAAACCTCCCATGCAGGGGGTATGGATATTTTCTGGAGTGCTCAACATAATTATTAAGAGGCAAAATCTTGAGACAGTCTTATTTTACAGTGCGACACCCCATATTGTGGCCACTCATCACACTGAAAGTAAGCTAACTAGTGTACTTTGACAAGGGTATGATAAATGATTGCTGCAGAAAGATTTTAATTCTACACATTCTACCGAGTGTCCATCATTTCCATTTGCCTTATCTTTTTACTCTTTCAGTCGTAAACACAACAGCTTTACCCTTCCTGTCTATTTAAAAATGAGGATGTAAAAGATCAAGAAGGCAAGAGAAAAGATCAAAAAATTGCCAAACACTATTCAACCAATTTCTTGGAAAAATATTGGAAACATGTTGTGTCAGCTATGTTTGAAGCACCTTTTGTAATTAGCAACTGCTGACTGAATTTTTCAAAAACGTAAATTTTCTGGGCAACCACAAATATAGGTGTGTCACACTGTACTTTTTTTTTTCATTTTTTTTTACAATCAACTGCCTTACATAACATTGCCTCTACATAAAGGATTATTTTTACCCTTAAACTCCCAAATAACCATTTTTGAAAATCTTAAATCTTATTTTGCAGAGTAATAAAAGTCAAATGGTACATTCATTGAACAAAGGTGGAATGTTCAGAAGAAGACTCAAAAATAAAACTGGATCTTGTCTCCAAAATTGACTTTGGGAGGGAAAAGGTTTATACTACACAGCACCATTATTAGGGAGCTTAAGCAACAAAGACTGACGGCTACAAAAGTGTCCAATAAAAATTAATGCAAATTAGAGCTGCTTCAAACTTATTGCCCTTATTCCATCTTGTTCGATTCATAAAATGTTGGCAAGTTTTTCTGGAGTTGAATTCAAAGACTGTATTGAAATTAAAGGAAAAAAAGTCGCCATCTTGTGTTTACTTCCTCCACAAAATGTATAATGGGGCACTTTCACATCATAGTGGTACAGTTACAGCAAAAAAATGTACAAAAAAAAAATTGCATGTGACTGCAAAAATGTTGTTTTGCTAATGTAAACCTGTTGCTTTTCTTGTGTCCTTGTTGTCATCGCCATTACTTAAGCTCCCTATGATTAAACTGCTCAGTTCATTTTCTACCAGAAGGTATATCCTCCACCGGTACCTCCGCTGAACCACCCAGCTTGCCTCTGTTGTACATTAACAGACTGTCCCTGGGATGCTGCCATTTGAGCTGCATTAGGAGCATAACCTGGAGGAGGAGGCTGTTTAAAACAAAGGATAAAGATTAGATCGGTTTGAATGTAATGGATGCATGCTAACATTTTGTGATGTAATAATAAAAACATATTTTGATTTCCCTCATGATTTAGTTACTTGAAATTTTGATAGTAACATTTCAACCGCTTACTTAGCGTTAGGAAACAGCCGACACTTCACGACTCCATCAATGGTTGCCCTGCAAAATGACCTCTAAAGAACAAGCGCAGAAATAGGCCTTTCCAAAAATACCATAATACTCTTTGTTTTCAATTTCTGTTGAGGTGATTGTAAGTCCCTAAAGAGAAACAAGGCTTATATGCAAAATTTTGGAGGGGAAACCAAAAGTCTTAAGGTATATTTTAAAAAGGCCTATTTCATACTGATAATTGGGTAATAATGCATGATCAGTAAATGGTAAATTGGTGTGCTTGTTTCTCGGTCGCCATTTTCTGGGGGGGGGGACCAGTAAGGACATCGCAAAATGTTGTCTGTTTTCTCAAGCTAAGACTTACTGGCATTTTAACATCTTTATTAACTTATAAGGTTGACGAAATTGTTTTATTATCATCATTGTTGGCTGCTCACTGTTCAACTAGACAGAGGCAGAGGGAAAGTTATACCCACCACAGACCACTGATTTACCTTTATCTTTATCTCAGAACAATGAGGGTTACAAGAAGATTCTATGACATAGATTGTAAATAATAACAGTTCACTAGTACTCAATAGCTGACCAGGATCACAATAACGATTGTTTTGTACAACCAGTTATTTCATGACAACAACAACAACAAACTTGATTGGTTATTAACTAACAGTCACACAATGCTTGAGAACACACACGTAGCTTCAAACTCTTCAAGGCAGGGTCACCTCATCTTAGTAATATTAATGTACTTACTGGAACATTGACTGTTGCCCCAGCATTAAATCTTGCACCAGGATCAAAAGAGCCTTGGACCACAGGCACAGCACCCTGCATAGGATACTGCCCCACATGGTACTGCTGTGTTGGGTATCCTGTAGGGGCCATGCTGGGATATGGTCGTGCCACTTGCTGAGGCTTCAAGAAAAAAATTAAAGTAAGTGGAAATTATGTTACAAGTACACTTTCATAGATGTTAAGAATCATCACTTTGTTGTTTTTCAATGTCATATTCAGAGTAAAGTGTCTAACATCGAAGTTAATTTTAAAACAAATGAGATATGGATCTCTTAACAGCCTCAAACAGATGGAGTGGATAGTCTGCTATTTATAACCTGTTGTAATATAATTATAGTACTTGGCGAAGGCAAATTAGTTTTGTGGAGTTTGTCAAAATAATGTTATAAAATAAATGCCTCCCACTTTTAAACCCCTCCTATCTATTAAACGCCCACAACTGAGCTCCTAAAATTAAATAGCTGCCCCAGGCAACTATTAGATGATATAAAGTATAGCTGATTCATAAAAGACTTGTTCCTGAATTTCCCAGTCAGCATAAACCACAAATTCAAACAGTTTACCCTGCTCCCTTTAAAAATAAATAATTACATCAACAAATAAAGTAAGCAGTTCATTTACAAGAACACAACTAAATCTTTTTATATAATATTCGTACTTATATAAAAATATTCAATTGAGGATACTTTTAACAACACAAGTCTGTTGTAAGATTTGTTTCCCTACTAGCAGAGGCCTCTTTTCTCTGGTATTCGGGGGGCAGGAGGAAAAGAGACCTCTGCCATGGGCTGAAACGGAATTTGTTGAAGAGCCACCGTCCACACTCGTGAACGATGCTTTGCAAAATGCATACTCCTTGTAATGTTTACTGACAGTTTCTTGAGCCCGCTGAGGCTCGTGAATATCTTTAGAGACCATCCGCTGTCAGTACAATCTCAATTACCAACTGAGGAACAACAGGACATCGCACTCCAGTCCAAAGAAAAACAATCAATAAAAAAGCTTTCAAGCTGTATGCGTTCTAGTTCATCCACTTTAACATGACTAATTTTTGTGTGATCGAAATTTTATGATTATAGAATGAGGTATATTCTTCACTGCAGCAGAGGCCTCTTTTCCCTGGTATTCGTGCTATATTCTTTCTTGTCACACGCTGCGGTCTGTTACACATACTCGGAACGACAATATAGTTTTCTTGGTCAAAGTTTAGAATTCCTAGCTCTGTACTCCACACACTGCATAACCTTAGCAAAAGAAAGAAAAGAGGTCACGTTTCGCACTACCATGAGGTTGTACAGTGCATTTAGCCTGTCAACACCTTGTTTCAAACTTAAACATGTGCTAAAATTTTCACGTGATGATTAGGTCTCCAATCAACGGCGCTGCATGCTCAACAAAGTCCATTTCGGCCAATTTTTCCTCCCGCCCAATGAATACTAGAGAAAAGAGGCCTCTGCTAGCAAGAAAAAGATGTGTTGGTGAGATTATATATTTGTGACAAAATCCCAGAGACATCACTATAAAAAACATGTGAGAACATCTTTTATAAATCTTGTTTAAATACAGAATAATAATCTTATCCCTATTCCAGAATAAGGTCAAGAAGAAAAGCCTTAACATACCAGCACATTGTAGCCACTACTAGCAGGAACCTGCGCAGGTTCACTGTATGGAGGGGGTGGAACTCCGTATGGTCCCTGGGCACCATAAGGAAGGTATCCTCCAGCAGACTGTTGAGGTGGAAGGGCGTATCCACCACTAAATTGTCCCTGTTGGAGCTGGGCAGGGTAAGCTGGCTGTTGAGTTGGATATTGTGCACCCTGTTTTGGGTAAAAACCTGAAAGATAACAAGGGGTGTTGAGGAAAATACCTTTTTTCATTTCTGTGCATTAGGTTCTGCTCCTGACCTTGGGTAAGTCAGAGGAAAATGGGATTGAGTTTTAAAGGAAGAGTACGTGCCACCGAAAATAAGGTCAACATTGACAGGGGTTGTGACTCAAAATATGGACAGAGATGCTTACTTGTCAGAATGTTACAATAAAGCTCAGGTTTTGTTTTACCCATAGGTACTAGGCAACATTTTTTACCAGGAAAGATATTGGCTTTCCCTCCTGAACATCCTAGTTGAGACCAAAATCCGCCATCTTTAACCCAAAGCGAGATAACGAGCATCCTTGTCAATTTTATATGAGAGTCACCATCACAGGATTGATCCCCATGCTACTGGGGACCATAATAAACTTTTAGGCATCCTACCAACGAACAGTTATGACATTTAGATTTTCTATTTTATAGACTTTTATATATTTCAAGCAACATATATTCACATATATTCACAAATTCCAACAAGAAAAAGACCTGTTTATCCCTCTGTCTATTGTGTATATTCAGATTTCAAACACTTACTTGCCGGAATTTCTGAATATTTTACTTTACATCAAGGCTAACCCTGTATAAATGTGCCGTTAATGTTTGTATTCAGTGGTAATTTTTAATTCGAAAGTTGACTATTTGCCTTCTGTCCTCTTAAAATTATAGAACTCAAATTATTGAAATCCAAGAAAAATAGAATGTGTGGACAATCTGAAGCAAAAAAATATATTATTTTGCATCACATCTATCACTACCACAGACCTCTCTGTATACGTTCTCAAAGTAATCATGAGGTTTCAAGAAAGGCAAGACAAGTCAATAGGATGTTTGCAGAATTTTGCTACATGAAGGGGAAATTAAGGTGCAGTTTCAAGTTTTAAAATTTCCTGTTTTCAGCAAAATGTGGTTTGGAAAAAAAAGTAAATTTCTGTGATATCCCATTATCTGGCATCTGTGATTTAGCGATCTTGTGAATTCTCCAGTCCTCCCTAATAATTAGCGAGAGGATTACTCCCCCATCCCCTGCCCCCACAAAAAGGTGGATTGATTCTAATAACCCCAGGGTTGGTAGTCAAACAATTTTACATCCAGTTGTGAAGACAGAAATAAAAACCAACATAATGGAGTTATGGAGCTATGGAGATATCTTCTTGTGTTCTGCGAGTTAGCCATATGCCTTTCCTCCAATAGGGCTGCAGTGATAACATCTCTTAAGCTTATATATCCTAGATATAATGACAGCACTATCGTATCCTTAAAAAAAACTCTTCATTACAGAAGTAGACATTATAATACTGCTCTTAACAACTTATCAGCTATTTGTCTAAAAGCTTAATTCAATTCTGGCGTCAGTAAGCTTAAGTTAACTCTAATATCGCTGATAGAAGCTAAATTATCGTATGGCTCGCCGAGAGGAATTATTTATATTGACAAAAAACACCATGAGCAGCAGTTCAGTATTTTCATCTTAAGAATCTTTCAAACTGATTCAGTTCTCTGTCGAAAACATAGACTTAAGCAAAACAAAAACGTCCTATAATTGTCAAAATCAGGAATTTTTGCCATAGCTTGGCAATAATCAGCTAGCAAGGCAAAATGGCATCGAACGCATGAACCGTCGTTGACTTGTAGTATTATTGCATTGTAAGCAAACTAATGAGCACCCCTGATGAATAATGAGTCCACTATAGAAGTAAAACCAACCTTGTGGAGTCTTGGACATGGTTCTTTAAGGCGTTTTCAAATCGAATTGTTCCAATTTTAAAACCAGGAACTACGAAATAATCCTAACAAACAAATCTTTCAATAATAATCGAGAAAGCCTGGGATACAGTGTCCCAGAATTCTTTGGAGCGCGCGTTTGAAATTCCAAAAAACAATAGCATTGCGTAACTCTCGTTCCTCGTTGTTTGCACCTAAACCGCACGGAAACTCTTGCTACGCAGGCTAAAAAACATTTGCAAAAATTGAAAATGGGAACTGGGTTAAGATGGGAGCAGGCATTTCTTTGGCCTGAGCAATGGCATTTACTAGACTGCAACTGGGATTTGACATCTGGGAAAGGGATAAAGAATTTCCAATAGCAAGCGTTTCCGTTTGGTTTCGGAGCAAAGAAAGACCGAGGAACGGGATTCTCGGTTTTGGCCGCGCGAGAAATGAAACAAGAGCCAAAAAATGAAAGTGGGGGGAGGGGGAGGGGAAGGAAGGAACATAAACGCCGTTCACACGAGGAGAAACGTCTGCTGTTCGCAAGCTAAAACAAGGGACCCTTCCACTTTTTTTTTCAACCTTTGACATGGAAAAAGTCCGTCGACACCACTAGAAAGAGCGGCTTAAAATTAAAATTTTATATGTTTCGCTTCTCTCTCTTCCCCCTTTCCCTCAGGCTACTTAAGGGGAGGTGGGTCGGGGGTTCTGTATCAAGACCGCGCGAAAAATGGCGCAAGTAAAAGTGCGTGGTGGGGGTGGGAGCCCCGGGATTTTGAAAACCACCCACTTGGCCTGTCATGCCTGAGTTCGCGCACCGACATTTGATGCTGTCATAAAATGTTTGGCTTTCAGTGGAGCGGAAATGAACTTCGGAGGACGCGTATGTGAACCCAATTCCATACTGATGACGCAGACGTTCCTCCTCGCGAAACGTCCGTCAACGGCGATGAACGAGGAGAAACGTCTGCCGTTCGCGGGCTACCCTTGTTTGAGTTTTTATAGAAGTCGGACAATAAATCATGCACTCTTTAACTCCGGATGTAAATAGGGTAAATGTGTTTACCCGACTTAATTGTTTGTTGCATAGTTAGTGGGGAGTTTCTACAAAATTTAAAGTAAAAAGTACAAGCATAATTTCAGCATTTTTTGCTAAAATGAGCCCCCGGCAACGAGCATACTGGTAATTTAAAAAAACTAGCATAACTGTTGGCATAACGTTAGAAATATACGAGCACTGCTAGCAGCATATTATGCTACTCTATCAAAGCCTAGTGTCGCCAAGTGTCGCCGGGTCAGCCCTATTCGCTCGCACTTACATGAAATGGGTATTAACAGGAGCCCATAACCTGAGGCGAGCAACTTCCATGTACTCGTGTCACAGCGTTTTCACGGACTAGTTTATTTTTACAGCGAATTTAGAATATCTTTTAAGTCCCAGAAACTGGGCAGTCAGCAAAACCCACAGACCTAAACCCTTTTAATGACGTTACGTTTTCCGTTTTTTCCTTCGAATGCGATCATAGACGTGGTGGAGATTCCATTTTCGCTAGAAAAATTGCCCTAAAATGTGTCTAAAAATAAACAGGTCCGTAAAACTGCCATAACATACCGTATTTATTCAATTAAACGCCGCCCTCAATTAAATAGCCTGAGAAAACAGCCGACATTTGGCGACCCTACCACTGGTTTCCCCGCCAAATGACGTCTGAGAAACGAGCACAGAAATTCCATGCTAATGACGCGTCACTACCCAGACCTGGGTAGTGCTTCTGATTGGCTGAATAAAAAATATGGCACGCGGCACGACCAATCAGGAGCACAACCCAGATCTGGGTAGTGACGCGTCATCAGTGTGGAATTTTAAGAATCTATCTCAGAAAAATAAGAGAGACTATTAAGACCTTTATATTACACAATATTTACAAACGATTTCCAGTAACTGTTTTCAGTGATTTAAGAAAAGTGATTTCGAAATAAACGTCGCCCACGAATAAACGCCACCCTTGAATAAACGCCGCATGGGAAACGCTGAAAATTTAATAAACGCCGCGGTGTTTAATCGAATCAATACATTAAGCCTAGTATGGGAGTTGCTCGCTCCAAAAATCAGCTTGTTAGTGCAAATTGATGAGGAGGTAACGGTCACTTTAGATCAAAATAAAATGTATGTTGACTAGCACTTAAAACGTCAAGTTTATATAAAAATGCGAAAATTCACCAAGTTTTTTTCAACCGCTGTTTTATTAGCTAGGATGGCTCAAGAACAAAAGTCTTTGTAAGCAACGTTATGCTCCGATTACTCCATATAAATCCTTCTGAAATAGTCGTGGATCGTCAAGGATAACTGATCCAAGTCAACTTAAGAACGATTTGTATGGAGTCATCGGAGCAATCGGTGCTTATATCTACCGAACAGTTAATACTAACGGGTAGATTTATGACAGAGGGGCTTTTTTCAACTTGTTCTTTCCGAATATACTAACCAATCCCGGCCACAATTTCACAAATTTGAATTTTTGTGACGTCACACTTCTTTCCTCTTGGTTTTTTTTATAATTGAGGCTGTTCCACTGAAAAAATGCGTCAGGGCAGACGTCACTTTCGAGTCTATTGAAGGGCATTCGTTTGTAACGTTAAGTCTTTGTCTCAAAATCTAATTCAAAACAGAAATATGCTGATTTGTTTCCTTTTGAGCAGCAACTTACCTGACTTTACGGATCTTTTTTAGAGCGATCTAGTCATGTCCTCGATAGTAACTACTGTGTTTAATTCATCCATTGGGTGGCTTGTGAATAAAGGAAGAAATATAGTAGCAGAAAAGCTGAAAGAAGGCGATGTTACAGATCAAAAGATCCGTGATTTGATCGTGGGTGACGTAGAAGATATCAAGTCAAAGTTGGACGGCTTATCAATACAAGACCTATTAGCTGCTGTAGACTTCTTTGAAACAGGAATAAGGTATCTTTTTGAAGCTTTACATGTAAAACCCATTGGTCAAGTTAGTGATGCAACCGCAGAAACCAAAGTAAAAATCGCAGCAGAGAATATCGATGAACTTAGTTTAGCAAATACAGTGAAGGCAAAAGTTTCCGTCGCTGCAGAAATGCGGGAAAAGAGTGAAAATATCGATTTCGATGAAACAACAAAACTCACTTTTTTCGAGGCTGAAAAGAGATTCCAACTGGCTCGTGAAATGGCAACAAAAGCTTTTAACAACGAAGCTCTCAAGATCTTTGACCGCATCACAGCCATTCGATACCGGATTATGGCGACGATGTTAGGGTCAGTTGCAAAAACAGCGGGAACCATAGGCGACTTGTCGTCTTCTTCTGCAAAGATTGCATTGGAGAATGCATTACCAGAGTGTTATCAGTGCCTTCAGAAACTCCACTCTGTTCGTGTTGTTCAGAGCTGTTTCGAAGTGCAAATGACTAAGAAAGGTGTCCTTAACCTCAGGGGTCTGTTTGGTACAGATGAGCGGAGGGAGATAATTTCCAGTGTTTGTCAAGTAAATCGCGCCATTTACAATGTGACCCAAGAAGTGGGTAAGGAAGCACATGCCTGGGTCTGGCCATGTGTTTGTATCGATAAAGATAAAGTTGACCTTCTGCGCGATGGAAGAGTATTACAAGTCATGCGCGACCTCAACATGGAGCACTGCTCTGTACCCTGGTCATTTACACTTAGTCAAGAGGGTGAAGAAGAGCACAAGCTTACGTTTCCAAGTGCCATTGCTACGAACAGTCATGGGTATTTTCTGATAGTGGACGGTACGGATAACGATGTGAAGGTGTTTGATGGCAACGGAAAGTGTGATTTTAAATTTAACGCCCCGCATGATGACGTCTATATAAAGATTGTTGATGTCGAAGTAGATGTGGACGACCAAATTTATTTACTGGTTTGTAGGAAGAGGCCTCCGGCTGAGCAATGGGAGAGAGAAGTCCAAATTTTAACTAAGACCGCTGACCTACAGAAAATGTTTCCTGTGGAGGGAGGTTTCTCAGGAAGGATGAGACTAATTGTTAACGGTAGCAAAGTGATGGTATTGGTAGATAATGAAGTTTATGTGTACGAACAAAATGGAGAGTTCCTTTTCCGCTTTGGCAAGGGCCTGTTAAACTGTGCAAGGGATATTGCTTCTTTTGATGGCCGCGTCATAATATTGGACGAAAAAAGGCTCTCATCCTCTCCTGCTAACATTGATACCTGGGCTCATATATTCACTATGAAGGGACAGTATCTTGATAAATTTAATGTCAACACCGAAGGTGATATCTATTATCGCATCGCATGTCACCCGATAAGTGGACTCGTCGTCGCCGCTGGCATAACACTGGATACGATAGATCTAGATCGGGACCTCTTGACGATTGCTTTATACACTGTAAATGGTGACTTTGTAAGAAGAATTCAACTCAATGAGAATCAAAGATCTATTTTAAGTCCAGTGAAAGGACTTGCAGTGACCACAAAGGGCGACATTGCCGTGGCTTCAATTTCAAATGTCAATAACTACTACAATATGAAGGTGATTGTCCTTTAAAACGAAAACACATCTAAACAGAAATTTCGCGTATAATTTTCATCAAGGGAAATTTCTGTAGTCTGGCTACGAGTCAGCTTTCCTCACTAGATTGATCTATGCACATTTTATTTCACTAAGTACTTTCTGCAGACAGCGGTGCTCTACGCACATGTGGAGCGCCGTGGTGCGTGATCGCAAGACTCCTTATTCGCTCCTCAGCCCGCAACATAGCTGCAACATAAAGGAAACATGGTATTTCTGACAGTGTAGTCAAACGGAACAGACAGAAATAGCTATTTTGCCGGCACGGACCAGAGGACTGGGTCGGCTAGGAGGAATTGTGGGTAGCTCTCAGATATGTTTATTTGTACGTTGTAAATTTGAATCAGTCTAGATCAGCATTCATTTGAGCTCCTAACTATTATATTTCCTGCCAATTTTGTTATATTCGTTTATAGGCATTTGGCAGCTAATTTTTGCGTACCTCTGCCCCTGAGTTGATGGCACTGCAGCTGATTTCAGCAGGCGGGGTATACGTTCCCTTTTCCCGCAAAGTAGTTTTGGGTTTTTGTATCCGAGGGTGTCGTACTTAAGTTTCTTTAGAGGTTTGGTTTTCGTCGTAGGGGTTTTTGTAATCATTAAGGTCTTGTAATCTTACGGTAATTTTGCAATAAACAGGCTTTGACTAGAGGTCCTTGCTGGCCTCCAAACTCCTTTACCTACTCTTGTGTGGGTGTCTTTTTGGGTACTGTAACCCTCACCAAGACGAATACGTATTTAAATGAGAACAGGCCGTCGCTCTTTCACTGAGTGACACAAGCTAAAACGTGTTTTTTGGTCGTTTGCATTAAAGGAATAATCTACATGTAGGCGGTAGGCCGTTCGACCTATTGAAAACGTCAAAAATATTAACACCTCCGAGATCTGCTAATTCTTCATTTCGTACGAAAACCGAATTCAATGCCGAGGAGCCTATTCCAACTTCTTACCACATTTCAACGTGATCTTCAACCACTGTTCATCTTTTATCTATAACTAAACAGACACACCAAAAAATGGGACTTATTTCTTAAATATACACATTGTTCATCTCTCTTAACTGGAGGAGGACTTTTAGCGGGGTGTTTCCAAGTCACTAAGAAGAAGTCCTATTAAGGGTCACACTATACAACAATTCGAACAACGAAGTGATCTTCCTGAGGATGAGCTAAAAATAGCCTACGATCGAGGCTAGTGAGGGAATTAAACTGTCCTCTGGAACACTTCTGCACCCTGGAAAGAATATATATAGCGTATACACCGGAAGCGCAATCTAATAGTTCCAGTTCAGTTAATGCATTACAGATTATAACAAGGTCTATTTTTAGTGAAAAGCGAACACATCAGGCCAAGGCAGCACTCAGTAAATAAATGATTACAATGACGCTTTTAAAGCATTGTGCAAACATTAACTTCAATGCAATACGATCCCCGCTATGTTTCTGTACTGATAATAAATGTGTCCTCAACGTCTTATGCACGCTCGCTAAATACGGACGAGGGCATGCCCCCGGGAGTCCGTCTTAACCGGGGTTCCACCGCATTGCATGTAGTGCCGTTTCCCTGGGATACTGTGCTCAGTTTTTTTTTTTTTTTTTGAGAATGCAGATTCCTTTTAAAGTTTCAATGACACTCCTTGCTGGCATTGGCCGAAGTTAACCATCGTTTTAGCCACTACATTTGACGGTCAGCGTTAATGCACAGGTTAAGATGTAAAATTCTGCCAACAGTTCTTGAAATAGGCAAACATGACATTCGATTAATAACTGTAGTGTGATACAAGCTTTGGGTCACTGTGTTGCAGCCAACAGATTACCGTCATAATGCGGATGGGATCACTGTGGTGTTATCGTATTACCCCATATTTTCTCTGTTGCCCCAGCCACGTCGATGATCTGAAACAAAAAGAAAACAACACCAAACCGGTAAATTTCGAAAACAAGCCTCCAAAATTAGAAGAATAAAAAAGCTCCCAAAGTTAAGCCCCTCGGTAAATGAGCAACCGGGAGCTTATATTTAAGAATTATTGTACTCGTGCTCGATTTCGTACTAGTAAAATTGAGGGTCGCTAATGATGGATGCGAGCATGCGCAAATATTCTTCCTTTGCTTGGAACTTTAATAAGCAAAACAAAGGCTCCGCACGTAAGTTTCACATGTTGGACAATTATTCTGCCTCAGACCGTTTCGACTTTAACTTCACAAGCAACATGTTGGATGCTGTTGGGTTCGGTTGATCGCCTTGTCCAACATCCTCCAACAACAGTAGATGTTGGATCCGTTTAAGCAAGCGTTCAGGACTTCACCATTAGAATCACGTTATGCATGTCCATTATCACTCAATAACAGAGTTGTAAGGCCAACTAACCATCTTTCCATTCGTCCCAGTCTCTTTTCTTCTGCAGTTTAGCTGGATCATCCTCGTCCTCTGATTCATCGTCACTTTTTTTGCTCTTATCACTGATCTGTTCGCTAAGAATTAAAAATTTAAACGCTAGTAAACAGAATGACAAAGGGAAGAGAACACTGGGAACGAGGTTGCCAGGTGACGAGTAGGAGAGAACACTGGGTGTTCAGTGTTCTCCCCTCCCAACAAAGGGATGCTGGTCCATGGGTTACTGACAGCATAGCCAGCTAGCAAGCTCTCCGGGGCGCTCTGACGGCGGGGCGAAGGGGCTTGCTCGCAGGCTACTGACAACAGTATGTCACTGTTAACCACACTTAGTTAAAGAGAGATGAAGGGGAGCAAAGTCTCTTGCCAAGGAAACAATAACGCGGCGAGTTAATCTTTACTTACTCTTTATAATCTAAAACAACTTTTCCTTCCATGATTTCCTTTTCTAGGTACTCCTCTTGTGTCATGGTAGGAACACCAGGGTAGCCCGCACCAAATACTTTGTCCTGACAAACAAATGAAGCATCTCTCAACATTGATCCCATGGGGAAGTTATAATCATTATTGGACACAAGAGACCTCTAAACGATGTACTGCATTTCCGCCTAAGGGTAAGGCCGGGTACAGTACAGTCAAATCATGTTAGCACGGATACTAAAGGGGCCATCGAAAGTGTCCGTATTAACAGGGTGTCCGTATAAAGCGGGTTATGTTATTTCAGTTATTTAAGTAAACCAGCAGGACAATTTAAACATCTCTAACCTTAACAAAGACGCCATTTAGCCAGCGGACTATGTCCATGGAAACACTCAAAAGTCGCTAATTTTTTATCGCTTAACAAAAACGTGTTCTCTGCATAACTCGTTCGATCTGAAATTGACTCCTACAATTCATCGTATACGGCGTACTGTTTCGCTGGGAACATCGATATGATAAGAGCTGAAGGGGGATTTTTTACCTTCGATAAGGAAAATTTATTATAGCACACAGCTGACAGCGAAGTGTCTGCATTTGCTAGGTTGACTTTTGCGAAAAGTCGCGAAACTCATTCTGTTTTTTTTTTTTTTAATTAATTAATTAATTTCTTTTTTTTTTTTTTTATTTTTAACTTATTTTAGTGTTCCCACTTAGCGGTTATACACCGCTATTACAGTTTTGACACTTATAATAAAGGTATCATCACCATCATCAAGTAAATAATATTTTCGCAGCTTTTCCAAACTAATTAATACCCGAGAAAAATTGTTATCGCGACAAGGAGAGACTAAAACCCTCCTGCTCTCCCCCCTCAGGATCCGTTTCAAATGGTGACTCTCTTCTTCTTCTACCGAAAACCCTCGAATTATGGCGATGACAAGTATCCTTTAACAAGAGTTATTTTCTAAGAAAGCATGCAGCCTAAGACCTAGGCCAAACGTCGAACTTTTCATGAGACGAAACAAACTTACCGAGTTAAGTTTATGAAAAGTTCGACGTCTGGCTCAGTCAAGTTCGTCTGAATGAGTTTGGATCGTCCAACACGTCCTTTCCGCCTGCTTCAGACGGATAGAACGTCTGAAGATTGTTTCCGGGACAAACCTCGATCTTCACATGCGATGAACTAGACTAATAAATCGAAAATTTGTATATTAATGTATATTTAGCCTCTTTCGGGAGAAAACTTATCACTAGCTTGCTAAATTTGCTTTTGGTCTGATTTAGTCAGGGGCACCCAACGGCAACTTTCGGGAAAATATCTGTTCGGAAGACGATTTGAGAACTAGAAGTTTCGGAACATTTGTTGTAAAATTTCTTGCTTGCCTGCCTCTCCTAGGATTTTCGAACATCTACAAAATGGTATAATTACCCATTTTAAACGGATATTCACCCTAAAAAAGGCCACCTAGAATTTTCGGGAGCCTTTTCCTGACTGAAATTTTCGAAAAGGTAAGTTTTGAGCCCTATAATTTTCGACTCACTAGACTTTCAGCTAGGAAATCCGAACAGATGAAAAGTTTTTAGGGGATAAAAATATGCCTATATCTACCGTTTAAATACTAAAATACGTTCAACAATGCTATGTTAACTGGTTTTGAACTATATCCTCGTTGGGTGCCCCTGATTTAGTTGATTGGTTCGACGGGTCGTAAGTTCGACGTCTGACCCAACAGACGGTCTTAACTTAGTTTAGGTGGACCCAAATTAGAGTTTGGTTCGTCTCGTGAAAAGTTCGACGTTTGGACTAGGCCTTAGAAGTACGATCAAACGTGTAACCACCTCTCAAAGGCGACTCCCTTGCCCAAAGTATCAAACCCGGTTTAAAGTAGGAAAGCCCCCATTGAGTCTTGGAAGTTTTGGTGATTGCTCTTCATTTAGAAAAAAACTGCTACAGTCACGAGTACCATGATAAGCTACGTTTACTTTGGAATGGTAGACACACTTCGCTAACTATCATCTGCCAAATGATACAAACACAAAAAATTACCTTAATCATTTGCCTTGTTATAAGGATTGGCTTGAAAGCTTGTTGAGACTAAAAAGCAAGAAAACACAACGTATGTATAGCATGTAGTTTACACTAAACACGGTGGTTGGATATTCTTGAGGATTCTTTTTTTGTGTCCCTTCTATTTACAGTCTAAACTCAAACCTGGTCCTTCCCTTGTATTAGACAAGAACAAGAAATTATAGATGACATCAGAGAAGCCCCCCACCCCTCCCTTTGATTGAGACTGGGAACAAGCCCTTTCCCTCCAGCAAATTCTACATAACTGAAGCTTGATTAATAGAGGAACTGAAAGCTTTCCACATTTTCCAAACAAAGAACTCCCATCTCTCTTTCTTAACTTAATAAATATCAAGATATAACGAAAACGCCTATTTTGCTCCAAAAAGTGGACGTCCACAGGACACCCAGATGTTCACCTGGCTAAAAACTTCCCCTTATCCACCCACCCTCCCGTCCCCCCCGCGACCTCAAGCCTTTCTACATGTACCTTGGTTGTACCAGCTGTGCTTTCCTGCCTGCTGTTATCTCCACCATTTCTTTTGAGAGTTGCCATATGTTCTAGAATCTCTATTTCACCTGAGGATTTAAAATCAAGGTAAAGCTAAGATTACTGAGTTTTTCAAGGCTTCAGTGTCTTACAATAACTTCTTGGATGTTACAATATACTGTATGGTACATTTTTTAATTAGCTACTAGAGGTCATCTCCGTCTGTACATTATGTTAAATATAAACTGATATTTTTTTATCATTACAGAAGGTACATCCCAGCTATCTAGAGGCTAGCTTCTGCTCCTAAGGGAAGTATCCAGATCATATATTCAACTTACTATGCAGACTTGTGATGTGTTCCACGGCTTTATTTACCCAAAACTTTAACAGCAGAACATAGTAGTTTCTCTGTGAAGACAAAAAAGATTGATCACATACAGCTGACAAAAATAAACATTCCAATTATTGATCTTGATTTTTCAAACATCTGAAGTCATTTTTCACTGTTTCAATCATTCTTTCAGTTAAGTGTGGAATACCTGAATATCCTCATCTACAGTAACTTTTGATGGATCGCTGATAAGTGACTTGAGTTCCTTCAAAAACAAAAAGTGGACAGTCAGCTACAAACAGTATTTCTTCGATCAAAAAAAATTTTCAACATGGAACGAAGGTGACGTGAGCTGCAGAAATTATCAACCATCAATGTACACTATCTTAATTTCAATAACTATGTAAAGCTTGAAAAATTGACAAAATCTATTTCTGTACTTCTGATCTTTTTTGAATGCAAAATTCATGACCTCAACACGAAACACGGGAAAAAATTCTACCTTATTTCACAATTTTCAAGTCACAGAGAAACTTTACAAACAATCATGTGACAAAAAATTTTCCACTACCTTAAGTCTTCTTTCTTGTTCTTTTTGTTCTTTGTATCTGGCTATTTTTTCTTGACGACTGTTGGCCATTTGGCTGATACTTCTGCTGTTTGCCTCAACTGAACTGGAATTTTCCGTGTACCTGGAGAGATCCTGAAAAACACAACAGAGGATTAAAGTAAGATAACATGCAGTAATAACCTGTTAAGTCCTTAAAAATTCCAGAAAACAATATCATAACTATATAGTGGCTATTCAGTTGTCAATGAAACTAATCAAGCAATAATAACAATATTGTTATTTAAGTTAAAAATATAATATGGACCTTAAGATGCAACAACGGTCACAGCAACATGAACGTCAAAAAAGCAATTGGATTAACAAGCTATACAACACGCATCACGAATCACATAAAAACATTTCTTTGCCATCACTGCACAACTACGACATGAAAATGCCTAATTTCACCACATTTTATAAGGGACATAATCAAGCAATCTCAAGATTTTCTTTTTCTTTCTGAACTTGGATATGATTCTTGGGTATTCATCATCTCCAGGAGAGTTCGCCCACATTTGATAATGTAATAGAGATGAAATAATCACAATAAAGATTTTAAAAAAATAAGAAATTATTCACTTTTTAGGCAACGTTTTTGCTGTCCTCATCTTCCTCTAATTTTAATAATATTTATATAATTTTTTACTTATATCCATGCTATTCACCATTTCTTGAGAAACAGTTCTAACAACTGCTGGGAAACATGGGACAAAACAAAAAAGAAACCCCTTTGTCTAGCACATCCGCAGGTTGATACACAATCACTAATTCCTTCTATCTATGAGCTCCACTCTAAGAAACATGTAAATAATTTTGCCAATAATTGCATTTACTCAGCTAAAAATAAGAGAACAACTCAGGTATATATACTTACAATGTCTGTCACTCCATAGTTTTTGCATCTTTTCAAATAATCTACAAAATATACCTGCAAAGGAAAAGCATAAACAATGATGTCATCACATAAAAGCCAAAATAATACAGAAAATGACATTTCAAGGGCTGAAAAAAGTGGAAGAATAAAGACACTTGTAGGGAACCTCTGACACAATGTAGATAACATGGCTAAGCTCTGAATTGTCTTAACTAGCCAAAATAATAGTACCTGCAGTGATTTTGTTACAAATAGTTATGGTGAGTCCTGGGACTCATCTGGTGAAAACTCATGAGTCCCAGTTCAAAAAACGATGAGGCCCTAATTGAAAATGCTTGGGCTTTTTTGCAACCAGACAGTTAATCTGAAAACAGACTCCAAAACTCTTTACACTGTCTAAAACTGTGAAAGGTTTGAACCCAGGAGTCATTTCAAAAGTAGGTTGAGTTTGATCGTCCAGGTGAACGTAGTCCTGAATATGACTGTTGTTGTTGACAGTGACTGACGCTTCGACAACCTGTGCGGTAGTCATACTTTCTTTAGTACAGTTTACTAAAATTAAGATATAGTCCTTCTACATGTGTATTTAAAGCACAAAAAAGACTAAAACAAATCACAGAATCACATGAATGGGATATTCTACAAAAACATCTTCAGATCGATAGATCAATCTTTATGTTCTACAAGACACATGCCATGAAATTATTATTTTGAATCTTTGGCGATTTTTACATGTCGGGACACAGGACGCAAAGGTGACAAAATCACTGTACATTTAGATTGTAACTTAAAGGATGCACTTAAGACCAAAGCATAATAATCGTTTTTAGCATAACAGTGCAAAATTTTCAAGCCTATCCCCTGGAACTGGGAGATTCATTATTTCAATAATACGTTTCACCAACCATTTCCATTTTCCAAGTTCTCCAACCCTAAGTTTATCTTCTACTTCTGAAAATTTTCAAAATTTTCTTTAGTTTAGGGTATTTTTATATAAACGCAGTTCAACAGACACAAACTCTCGTCTCCGACAAACATGCAAGCCGTTTGTGTTGTTTATTACTCGTCTCTATTGCACATTGTCCTTGCTTTGACATCTGCAATAACAAATCTACCAAACATAACTTCAATTTTCCATGACTTTCCAGGACCAACAATGTTAAATTCCATGACTTTCCAAGCCTTGAAAATGAAATTCTTAAATTTCATCACTTTCCAGGTTTTCCATGGCCTGTAAAAACCCTGATCTACAATGTACCTTTGAAATATTCAATATAGTGAGTCTGTCAGGGGTCATTTGTCTGAGAAACAGGTCTCCAAGAAATGCGGGCAGCAACAGAAATCTAAAAAAAAATTAAAAATTATATTTGAAAGAGTATCAGTTTCACCTTTCTGGAAATTCATATGTACTGTACCTGGAAAATAGCAAGGCATCTGAATAAGAGTGAACCATTGTTCTCACATGCGAATTTATTATAAAAAACCTGCCTCAAATAGAAACATACAGTAACATTGTTCTACTTATCGGGCCATAAACAGTAAAATTTACCATCTGAAGCAACACTTCTTACTGCCTGCAACTGCTCAAAGGTTTACTAAAATATTAAAGACGTTGTTTTAAAAAATACGCAAGTTGTAATCAAATCCAATCCGATCAAGGTAATGAATGAATATATGGAAATGTACTAAACTATACAGAGCTTTTCTTTTCATGGGCCACGCATTTTGGAAAGTGAGCATTGAAGACAGTGCAAAATTATTGGAATCAAACACTTTAAATTGTTGTCTAAAGACAACAACTGCTGAATTGCATAAAATAGGTCTTCAAATGAGGGATTGATGTTTCAGAGAACTTAGCTCCTAAATTTCACAGTGAGGTCAAAGCCATGTCCCTCACTCCACTACCCCCTCCCCCCCAGGAAAGTGCGCCTCTGGCTCATATTTTTCGCCTTGCTGGCCACAAATGGTCCCTTACCTGCTGAGCTAAAATTTAAAATTTTCCAAAACACCAAAAATTTAACAAAGTTAAAGGGGGGAGGGGGTACACACAATGTAGGTGCTTCCTGGGAGACATTCATGAATTCTAGAAAGATGGAACATCCAAAAAAACATGCAAGCGTAGCTACAACCCCAGACAAAACTATTGAGACACTTTCAAGTATTTTGTAATAACTTCGCACCATACTACAATCTCCTCTAAACGGAACAAAGTCACCCCCTTCCCTAGTCCCCCTGTTCAAAGTTGTTTTGGTCTAACAGCTCACATGTGCATCCCTGGTGTTACTGCAAACAACACTGGAATTAACCCACCCATGTAGGGGAGAGGGGGAATTGTCTTTCAATTTATGACAGTAAGCATATTTGTCAGGACAACTGCAAAAAAAATATTTTTGTAGTGTGTCTTAACAGGTTTTGTCTAAGGTTGTGGGTAAACACAGCAACAAAAAAGGCTAAGTTCTGTTTGGCTGTATTACTAACTCAAAAAACAAATTTGATTAACTTTTGTTAAAACTGTCCAAACTTGTTTTTGGGTCTCTTGGTATTTTGGGTGGTTGCCTTTTGGAGGTTCAACTTTATCAAATGATTTCATGAAAACTGCAGTATAGAGTGTTTTCACTCACATGGCCAGCATCTATGCTAATTCGATGGAACAAAAGAAATCTTTTGCATAAGAAAAGAGTTCAACTCCTAGAGGATTGGTTTCGAACACCAAGATGGCCCCCATTTCATTGTTTTGGAACACCAATATGGTCGCCATGACATCATGTGAAAACACAATAATTATTACAAGTAAATGCAGGCCTTACCTACCTCAACTCAGATGTGGGAACTTCAGCTAACTCTTCATTTGCACTGAACAAACCTAAGCTATTGACCATCTCAGTAGCACGCACAAATTGATTCACTGCTGTAGTGACCTTCTCCTGCAAAAAAGGAATTGACAGAGCGATGACCTTTAAGTAAATGAAGCCAAACATAAAAATCAACTGGCCTCACTACTTTCCCCATAGCTGAAACCTAAGCAGGTATGTCGGGGCCAGTTGGCAAACAGCTTTTATAGCCAACTAATAAAACAAAGAAACCATGTCTGTAGGACAATTTTTTCAAGTAGTAACGACTGGTTACTTGTCCTGTGTGACTGGCTAGCTTCTTAAAACCTTTATTTACAAATAATTAAAAACAAATAACATCCTGTAAAGGAGAAAGATCCAAAAGTGACTACAGACCATACTACGCGTCATACTAGGGATGCTTAAAGACTTAGTCCTGAGCTAAGGGGCCAGTTCTTTTTTTAAAGCTTTGAAAAGCCATTCAAGATACTGTAAAATTCCAAAAATAAGCCCCTCATTGTATAAGCCCCTCCAAATATAAGCCCCTAACTGGTAACGTGAAAAACCCTACGTTAAATAGCCCCTCCAAATAAAAGCTCTCCAGGGGCATGTACTTGGAAAATTACGGTCAAATACAAAGTAAAACAAAGCAGAAACGGTAAATTTACTTCCAGCTGTAAGGCTAGCGCAGTTGATTTTGAGACGCAAATTTCCTTCTGTAGATAAGCCCCTCCAAATATAAGACCCTCAAAAAAAGCCTTTGAAAATATAAGCCCCAGGGCTCATTTTCCGAATTTTACGCAGGGTTCACAAATACGCCAAATTTGACGTATTTTATGCCAAAATTGTTCAGATGACTCCACTGAGGTTATGGAGGGAGTCACTTCGATTCCAAAAATTTTCGGTAATAAACAGGGAACTACTTCGACTCCAGAAATTTTCGGTAACAAACACAGTTTTGTCCCTACCTCTTTCGCAGCAAATACAATTTACGTTAATTGTAAACGTTGTAAACCTTAATTAAATCAGCGAATTAAAGAATTATACTGCACGACAAAACAGGAAGAGGGTAAATTATGATCAAAGTTTACTCGATGCCCGCCATCATGGATTTGAGCTTTCCAGGTCAGCGGACCGCCACAGCTACTTCGTGTATCCCTCATGATAGTGTATACATGCCGGGATCACGTGCTGGAAATTCTGATACTTGACTCCAAATATTCCAAAATGACTCCAAAATTTGTGAAGCAGAAGTCACACTGACTCCACTCATCAACAAAATTTGCAAACCCTGTTTACAGTACATTAACAATTGCATTTCCTGACAGAACAAAAATGGTTCTTAATCACAGGGGAAAGTGAACAGGGCAGTGCTGCATAAATTGTCCTCAACTTCACTGTTTAATAATTTTTAACGTATTTAAAAAAGACTTTAGATACATAATGTATCTTGTAAGCTATTTTCATGTCCTTAAAACTTCCCAAATCTCAGTTGCTAAACATTAATAATTTACTCTGGCATAGCTACAGAATACAGGGCAACCTTTTAATAGCCACTGGGTTTGCTATTAAAAAGCTGAAAAGAAGTGCAAGTTTTCAGAAGTTTTACATTTTCATTCCCATTTTTTGACATTTTAAAATAGGAATACGTATGATATTAACGTACATGTAAGATACTACCTGAAATGCTTCTGAATTGCTAGGTTCATCACTGTCTTCTATCTGACAATGCAACAAAAATCCTTGTTCAAAAACATCTTTCAAAGAGGATTCCTCTTCAGCAGCGGCCATTTTTTTAGTTCACCTTTTCTAACGACACAATGATAACAGTACATGAGGTAACCTTTTAGAAACAGCTATCCGCTGATTTGAGTATGCGTAGGCTCGGTGGCATAAAAAGTTCTGGCATGGGATCTTCGCGATTGCAAGTTCTCCGAGGAATTTTAAGGGAGTTAAAGCTGTTATCTCCAGTTAAGGTAATTAAATGACTTTTAGAACATGAAACATCTAACAATCGTGATGGCGTACTTGTCTCTGATGGCTTAGACAATTCCAAGCGTGTCCATTTGTCCATCTTGACAAGATGACAAATGCCGGTCGGTCCCGGCGACAAGATGACAAGGATGATGAAGGTTCTGAACCACTGGGAAAGGCACCTGTTCTTGATCTGCTTTTATCTTTAGGTATTCTCAGCAAGCCCCTAGATCCTGATTTTGGTAGCGTGTGCGATAAGAAACTATTGTTGCTTACTCCCCCCGCGTGGGATGGTGAGTCATAATGATGTCCCCCTCTCCCCATTCCCAGTAGAGGCGGTTGAAACTGTTCACAAGCCCCCTGAAATACAGTAAAAACCCGCAACCAAGAACCTGTTAGGCTAAAATTTGCCAGTTAGGCCCCCTCTATACAAGAACCTGTTTAGCCTAAAATGGGCGATTGCATTTAATATCCCCCCCCCCACCCACCTCGGTTGAGGAACCATAGAATTCTCCAGGGGTAAGTTATATAAATTGACGATTTCTTTAGGGGTTGAGTAAAAAAATATGGAATTCTTTGGGGGTGAAACCTTAATTTTAACGAAATTCTTCAGGGGTATGACCTAATTCTTCATAGGGTGAATGCAATTTTAGCCAATCTTCAGGGGTCAGAAGAAAAGGCAAGTCCTCAACCAGGGGGTACAGATATTAAATGCAACAGCCCAATTTGAAACAGGTTCTTATTTTCTAAAAAATATCTCTAAAAACATTCTGTACACTTAGGAGAATAAGATACCATAAATCCTCTATTGAGCCCCCACACCCCTCTCTAATAAGCCGCCCATTTTCAGGGAAAGAAAGTTAATAAGCCCCCCTCTTTTAACCCCCCCACCCCTTATCATTCTTTATGTTGAACATGTTGAACTGATCTGGGATGGTTTATTCACCAACTGGAAGTTTGGATTTGTTTTTGTTCCTCAGCTGCATGACCTCCAACTTCTTGTACTTGAGCTTTTCCACTTTGTATTCTAGTTCTTTATGGAGACTCACTTTCTTGCTGTAATAATTTTCAGGAGCCAGTCATATCAACGGTCGAAGGACAGTTCCTTATTTCAGAGTATCGTCAGTTTTCTAAGGCTGGGGAGACAGTGGCAAACATACTTTACTATGACAGCCTCTATTATTTATGCTTGCTGACAAGCCAGAGAGAGGCAATGGTGAGTTGGATCAATTAAAACTACCCACCTACCCCTCCCCTAACCCAACATTTTGCCCCAAGTGAGATGCAAATGTTAACGTTGAGTTAGGGGAGGGATAGGTGGGCAGTTTCGCAAAAACCTTAATTCATCTGGTGAGTTTTCTTTTTATGGTCTTGTCAATCAAAGTAAGTGAATTTCGTTTTTAATCACTTGAAAACCTTACATCAGCATGCGTATTCTCGATACTGTGCCCCATAACATTTCCTATGGTGGTCATAAAAATATGTTTAACAATCAAAGTGTACTGTACTTAATGTTGATCATTTTCTTTCTTGCTGATCATTTCCTTTTTTCTCTCAACTTCATGTTTTTAAAGTACATTTTGTTGCTATAGAGAGAAATTGAATGTTCTTCTCCGTCGGTTTGAGTCTTTGCTTACACATTTATCTTTTTTTCTCACGATTCTCTGTGCATGTGTTTTCAGTGATTTGTAAAAGGATTTTTAAGCCTTTACACTTTATTTTACAGGATCTTTTCTTGAGATACAAAGGAAGAGGAGAAAGATCTGTGGAGGAAACAGCTGGCTTAGTGGGTTTTAAACTTCCTAAACAGTACCAAGATCCTTGAGATTATAGATGGAAACATACAGTGGTGGTGTTTTTAATAATGAGCTATACTGGAACCACATCAGCACATGTACAAGCAAGTGTTATAAGCTGTGGTCTCAAAGAAAGTCAAGAGGATTTATTGATCATAATTTAAGGATAAGTGGCACTCAAGGACAAGAAGACGCTTCTTTCGATTGGCAGTGACTTTTGAAAATTACAAAAAGCAGTGGTATTTCCAGAGGGTGGTTAAAATTGGACAATACAAGTGACTGCTATTGCATAAAAAGATAAATGGGCTTAACCTACATGTACCAAAGGACATAAAAGGCAGATAGCAACACATTTATGACAATCAACAAATAGTAGAGATTACTGCAGGATCAATCTTCCTGCCATTTACCATATTTACCACCTTCCGTAAGTGAGCACAATGGTCAAAACGCTTTGGTTCCGGGGCTGTGCTTTGCGTAAGTTTCACGTTCACGACAGATGGTCAAAACACGCGTCATCAGGTTACGAGTGATAGTAGGTCCAAACACGTGTGATCAAAGTCCATTCTGTGCATTACATACATTCTTAGTGAAAGTCCAAATGAATGCTGGCTACATTCATGCAAATATGCATGCATAATAACAAATTGGAGATTAGGATTGCGGGCTCCTCTTGTCACCCATAGTTACAGTGGAACTTGATAAAACGAACCTCTATAAAACGAAGTCCTCGGTATAACGAACAATATTTTTTGCTCCAGTAACAATAACTTATATGGAAATAAACCTCTATTTAACTATACCTTGCTATAATGAACAGATTTTGACAGTCCCTTGGCCCTTCATTATATCAAGGTTCCTCTGTAATGAGTAAATTGAAGTCGTTAATAAAGACTCAACTGTGCCTTATTTTTCCAACCCACTTCCATAGGCTTTGGACATTCTTATCACAGATTCTTTCTCTTGCTTAAACAACAAAACAGACAAGGAAATGATACAGCTGGAATGGTTTTATTTTGTCACAATCAAACTCATACACTTGTAACCAAAACTTTAATGACAGCAGGAAGTTTAAAATACCAGAATGGCAACAGTGGCAAAAACATCACCTTAAAAATAATAGACTTCACGTTCTTTGAAACATCAGAATGATTATCCCAACTTGTTCACTTTGTCAAACGCAGGCAAACTTTCGTAGAGTTTGTCTCTCAAAAATGTCCAGGTTTAATGAGACAAAGAAAAATTTGTGGTAAATATATTGTTTACATTCCCACCACTTGAAATTAGGCAGTTTCAATTCAAGTCAAAGTCATACAGTGACAGCAAAGAAAATGTACAAGAAGTGTGCTACACTTGCAAAGTTTTTACTTTTTGAGATTCTTGTTGCCATCACCTTCATGACATCTTAGACTCCCCAGTTATAAGTCCAATGAATGCAGTGGCAGATGTTCCAGTCCTAACTGAGCTATCAGTGGGATGCCACTCTCCAAAATAATCCCTATCACAGTGCCTCAGCGTTGCAGTTGTCAGTTTTGGTCCAATGTTAGGGGAGCCCAGCTCCCTTCTCTAGATCTGCCACTACAACTTTTATTATTACAAAATAAAAATGTTTATTTTAAAACAAAGCCTGTAACTGATGTTTTTGAAATAACAAAAGTTGAAAATTTGTTATTAATGATAACACTCATGAAGAATATAAAAAGCTACTTAAACTCATGGAATAATAAAAAACTAAGAAAATCATAATATTAGTAATTACTATTTCACGACATGTTATTATTTACAACCCACCTTCTGAAGAGAACCGATTTTTACCATTTTTAAAGTCAAACATATATTTAAACATTAATTATCAATTACCCTTCCTTTAAAAACTCAAATAAAAACTTGTAGACTGCAAGCGGTCGTCCTCCTTTCCTCGGAGCCTCGCTTGGTGAGCAAAAAGGTAAAATGATGCAAATCAATGGCAAAAAAGGAGGAGGGGTGGGGAGAGGAAAAAGACACATACCATAAAATTTCAAAAATAAGCCCCGGGGCTTATATTATTTTTTCAAAGGCCCTTTTGGAGGGACTTATCTATGGAGGAAAATCTGCATTTCAAAATACATTGGCCTAGCCTTATAGGGCAATTTTCCAAGTACAAACTCCGGGGGGTTTATATTTAGAGGCGCGATTTAACGGAGGGTTTTTTACGTTACCACTTTGGGGCTCATACATGGATGGGCTTATTTTTGGAATGTTACGGTATTTTATTTTTTCATCGCTCGCACTCTGCCCTCGTTTCTCACAGCTTCGCCGCTCACCCCTCATGCGTGCCCTCATTTCTCGAGCACATATTCTACGGTTTCTTAAAAGAAAAATAGACTACTTGCTATCTAAAAAACTTGTATGGTATGTAGTGCCCGGTGTAGTGGTCTATCTCACTTTCACTCTCATGTATGGCCGGGGTGTCATTACTCATTCCTTCATTACTTGTAAACTGCACCTTAAGCAGTCTGGCAAAGTCCCCCAACCAGTGTTGTAAATTATCCCTGAAAAGCCCAGAGGGGAGTGGATAATATGTTATTTACATTTACATTTACATTTACACTTTGAATTTCAAGCCTCAGGTGATAACAAGTTTGAGTCAAATCAAGAAAATAAATGTGATCATTTCAGTACCACTTCTTTGGATGAATAAATTAATAGATGCAAACTATTTGAATAAATATTATAGTTTTAATTAGTGGACTGCACTTTCTTAGGTACATAGACCTGTTTAATCTAAAGTAAATTTACATGACATACTTAGCATTGTCTATTATGTACTGCTGAAAAAAATCACTCTACAAGTGGAATTCACTTGAAAACAAACATCTTGCAACATTAAGTAAGATTTTCTCACCCTCTTGAAAAAACTTGTCGAGCTAATTCTGGCAGTCTATCATTAAATTTTACTCTAAGATCAAAAACAATTAAAATATGTACTGTCAAACTACATGTAAAAAAAGTGATCTGACCGCTGTACAGTCAAAACCTTTTTTTTAGCTTTCATGGGGCCATACACTTGTAGAACTGTCCATTTATTATCAGGATAATTAAAAGAGATATTCAGAGGCTTGACTGTATTTTTAACAGATCTTCCACCAAACCAAAAGGCTGTTAATTAGACCATTCTTGCACAGACAAGTGATTTTGTGTCACCTTGTATATATGCTAACAGTATTTTATCATTATGATTTTTATATTTACATGATTTTAATCAAGGCAGGTCTAAAAAAACAGCATCTTCATGTGATACTGTGTACTAGCTGGTCTCTGTGGTCATATTAGGTAAAAGGCTCTCAGCAAGACTTTACCAGACGAAGCCTTAAACATAGCTAGCATGCACTTTTAGGTTGAGGTTGGAGATCAGCAATTAAATTCTCCTCGAAAGAAACTGAAATATTTATGGAGGAAGCAAAGTGAATGGTTGCTAAGTTGAAGTTCCATAATCCTTGAACCATCATCATTCTTTCCTCAAGCTCCTAGGGCTGGTTGCATGAAGAAACTTGAACTAAGTGCAAATTTTCGTGAATGTCACACACTCCCAATGGATTTTATTGAGTGGTTTCAAGGATGGCACAACCCCCTACAGTCTGCTGATTAATTTAATCACAAGATCTAAAAAAATAAATTGTTGAGTTCGGTATGGATAAGTCAGCCAAAACACAAGGGCATATTAAGGAAGCACTCTTTCCAAAATCCACCCACACCCACATCTCCCTCTTTCTCTCCAGAGGGGAAGAGAAAACAGACTCTAGAAACAAGGTTGAAATTACACAATTTCAGTCCACTTGCCATCAATCTTGCCCTTGCAAAATAAATTAATACAAATTTGATACAGTTTTCATGTACTTAAGTATAGCAACGTTTAGTAGGACCTCTCCAATGTTAGCAGATTTTCAATGGCACAAACACTTCAGTCTGTGCAATGTTCAAGTGTACAGTTTGTCTCTTCATTAGATCATACATTTGAGACTGTCAAGTATAGAACCTTGCCTGCTTGGTCAAGGGAATCTGTACTTTGACTAAGTATAAGGCACCTCTGTTACAGATCTCTGCTCAACATGCTGAGCATTCTCTGGTGATGTGTTAGCAGCTTCAGCAACAGAGTGAACAATACTGTCGTCATGCACTTGAGCATAGCTCACAGCTGTAGTGGATGCTGCTGTGTGGGAACTTTTCACTGGGCTTCCATCAGATGACAGGCATACAAGGGCCTTTACACGGTCTTCTGTGAATGAGAACTGTCCTACTGGCATGTTGGTAAAGTCAAGTTTAGTTGGAGATTCTCTGTCCTCTGTGCTTGGACTTTCCTGTTTCTTAGCATCGAGTTCAGCCTTGAGTGAGTGAACAGCACGACCTTTTCCAGACACCATGCGCTTCATCATCTGTTTTCGGTTACAAAACCATACTCGTACGGTGACAGGTTCCAGACCTAATTTTGAAGCAATGTCCACAATTTCAGCACTGGTGGGCTTTGAATTTTGTTCAAAAGTTTTAATAAGAAACTGGAGAGTTTCGTTAGTGAAGGAGGTCCTTCTTTTACGCTTTTTGCACATTCGCAATCCTTTGGCACACTCTGCTTCTTTTTGTTCAATCCATTCTTGCAAAACAGGTTTCATTTTCTCCGCTGCCTTTAGACCAAGATTCTTAGATTCAAATCTGGAGATAAATGACTGACTGTAAGAAGAATGTCCATTGGTGTGTGACAATTCATTACCCACATCTTCCTGGGTGTATCCCAGTGCAATCCTTCTTGCCCTAAAAGATTCAATAAAGGCCTTCATGTCTGCAGTCAAACAGCTATCTGCAAGAGTGCCAAATATCTGCGCTGAGGAATTTGACAAATCGGACAGCTCGGGAGCAGTGCCTTGGGCAATTTCTTGAGATGATGGTGCCTCCTCTGCTTTTGCTTGTTGGATTTGAGGGACAGCTGCTGTAGGTGGCAGGGCAAGAGAAGCGGTGGAAATGGTATATGGTGGGAACCCCGTGATAACACCTTCTCCACTTTGAGAAACTGGCAGAGGTTGAATATGAGTTGTTATAAAGTGGCCCACCTGTGGATTTATCAAGACACATTCAATGCTTTCTAAATGGACATCTCTTAAAAGATGGACACTGCCCTAAGAGATGGATGGGCCACCTTTCTCATCAGTCTTCTTCTTTGTTTCTCTGAAAGGCAGACACCTCTTTTAGAGGGACACTAAGGTCACTTTCCAAGATTCACAACCGGCCAGCCTTACTGGAAAATTGGAAAATAAAATATTGGTCTTTCCCCCAAATTTTCCCTAAAACCCACCGTTGCCGAGCATATGATTTATAAAACATTAGACTGATCTGACTGAAAACTCATGATTAATAGAGCAATTCTCTTTACAAATTGACTGGTCTGAATGCCCAGTTCTCACATGGAAAGTGCCCTTACTGTCAGTCCCAAAGGTATCCATCTTAGACACAGCTGACTGTAATCCAATTTCCTCTATAATTTTCTCTTCATTCCAGTATTGAGTTACTCATCCCTACTTCAACCCTCCAAGTTAAAGTTTTTGCTTGGTCGCCATTTGGCAACCAACTCTTTTGATTTAGGGAGACCTTTTTACAAATCAAGTCGCCAACTCCAAAATTTTAGGCACCATAGCAACCAAAATGGTCGCAACTTGGAGGGTTGTACTTCCCCAGTAGATGGCATGCTAAAAAGTCACACTAGTCAGCGGTGTCAGTGGCTCTGAAAATGGTCCAGAGGGGTTAAGATAAAATAATGTTCTTCCTATGAAATTATTTTCAACCATAACTTCAATCATAGTAATGACTTCCATATTCCAGACCACATACTGTAGCTGTTATACCTGTATACAGTCATATTACACAAGGATACATAACTGAAATGGCATTGAGATACTGAAACATCAAAGTATTTACCCTGGATGCCTGATAGTTAGTGGCAATGCATAGAGAAAAAAATATAGTCCATCTCTTTATCAAAATAATCATGTGTGGCTGAAGTTTATAGAGGACAAGGATATTCAAAGATGTACCTCTAGAGCAAGGGTACAAAATTATTTTGATGTTCTTTGAATTAGTATTTTTTACTATTAATAATGGTAAAAGGACTGAGTGGAGTCTAATTTGGTCTGTAATCATACGAAAGATTAACACACAGGAGTCGCATTTGTTTAATCAGTGGTATGACTGGAGCCGAAAAAGGAAGACACAGATAAGTTCTGTTAACAATTTATCATATCTACAACAAAGTTAGTGATATTTTCAGCCTTTTAAAACACACGTATTGCAGTCCAGTTACTTACAATGTATAGGCATGACTCATACTGCCCTCTTAATTTTCAGTGCTGAAATCAGGACAGCTGAAAGCCAGTCACATTGGCTGAAAGCCAGTCACAGAATTCTGTTATTAATAGTTATGATTAATAATTTTGCATCCTTGTTATATAAGACGATTCAACTTACCTGAACTGTGGCTGGTATCTGATTGCTGTTTTGACAAAGTTGATCAGTCAACATAACTGATCTCGTATTACCTGTATCAACATTAACAGCAAAAAAAAACATTTTACGTTTTTTTTTTTTATCATTAGAAGTGACAAAAATCCAAATAATTTGCATATTTTCAACCTTGATGTCCTCCCCAACAAGCCTTTCCTAAAATTTAGGAAAGGCTTAATAGCAGAGCTCCACGCAGGCAGAGCCCCAGAGCTAAGAAAATCTATCCATACATTGCCCAACTGAGCGACTGTCCGTCCGTACCACAGACATACCAATGTAAAATAAGTCAACAGTCGACAGAAATGGCAACCCAAATGCAGCTCGAGCTTATTTTGGCAGGGAATCGCGTAGCCACCCGTGTATTGTGAAGAAGAGACAACTAAAGAGTCAATAAAGAAAAAAATGGAAAACAGAAATTGTTTCTGCATCCCTCTTGTCTAAAGTTTTAAGCTTTGAATAGTTGTTATGTCCACAAATTTGGAATATAGAGAAAGAAAAAGACAGAAAAAAAGAGAAAGTAGGCGACCAGGCAGCGAAGCTCAATGAGAAAACTGAGAGCGACAGAGAACTAGAGTAACAGAAAAAAAAAGGATACATTTTTGTTGGTAGAACAACATGAAAATTTTGTAACAGTGGTGAGAAAATGAGAAATGCTACGGGCCACCAAGGTGAAAATGAGTGGCAGTGAAAAAAAAGTGAACAAGAACACGTATGTTATTTCCTCCATGAAATGTGTAACCGGGAAGTTTCTCATTGTAGTCGTGCAAAACAACGGCAAAGTAACGTTCAAAAAAAGTGTGCTGCGCGTGCAACATTGCTTTTTTGCTAATTAACTATTGTTGTGCTTTCACCATTCTCATTACCTTCACCACTTAGCATCACACAATTTTATTTTATTTTTATTTTGTTTGAGCAAACTATAAATATTATCGAGAGCTTCGCTTTTAGCCATGGCTAAATCTATATATGATATGTTGTTTGGAACCATTTTTTCGGAATACAAGCATTATTAGTCAAGGTCATACTAGCTGAATGAACCATAAATCCTCTATTTAGCCCCCCGGGCGCTTATTTGATTCAAGCCCATAAATTTTAAAAGGATTTATGGTGGTTCAAAATTCTTTAAAATCATTATAGGCTAACTAATCTGGAGGTTAATAGATTTTCTGCAGTGCACAAAAAATGAAGTCTTCTCTGAGAGCAGAGTGAAAACAGCAGTGCAAAGTAAATAAAAGAACACCTGGATTTGTGTTGGAATGGAAGTGCCATTAATCAGCATTAAAAAGGGTCTAGGCAATGTAAAAGGGGTCACAATTGAACTGAGTCAAGTGGGTTGAAAACATTTTTAAAAGGATTGGGGGTTGTTCAAGCCAGATAACCCTTTGTAGGGGATGGTATTGGGACATTCTCTATCTTGGGTGAAAATGACACACATGACAGTAGTAACCATGCACAGGCCAACCAAGTTCATGATTTCAGCTGTTCCTTAATTGACAAAACAATGAACACTAATATGAAAATAATTGCCAGGCATTTTGACATAATCAGCTGGGTGTTAGTGGAGTTCAGCTTAGTAACTGCACTTTTCAATAACATGCAAACTCTGAACTTCAAAAGACAGCTTACAGTTGTATTTTTCGCTGCTGTCAATCATAATTACGATCACAGGGAACAAACTTTGGAACACAGAAACTTACAAAGCAGATCAAAATGCACCAATCATAAATCGCAAACTATGAACTTTTGAACTCGGCAGAGTGAACTTGTGTTTCCTAAGAGGTCCACTAGGATGAATGACAGCAGTGAAGAATACAAATGTTTGTTGGCTTTTCGACATGAGAGTTTGCATGTTTTTGAAAAGTGCAGTAAACGATGCTTTCGCCAAACTAAACTTAACTTTGGAAATGTTAGAGAAATTCCACATTTGTGCTGTGTATGTTCATAACAGTGATTTTGCGAGAGAGTTTGATAAGATGTAACGCAATCAAGCAATCAACCATTTATTTTAACAAGTTATGTTGAGGAGCTACAAAAACTCATTCAAATACGAGCAAGTATAAATAAAATCTATAATAATTACAGCTACACTATAATAAGCCTGCAAAAACAGACATTCTTCCCCACTCCCCACCACCAGGGACGCCCCACGAGGAGGAACGTCCATGACTCAGCAACAGAAACCCCATACCGATGACATAACTCAATGTTTACATAATAAATCCAGTAGCCATGGAGTTCCAAATGCTTCATGAGAATTAATACAAAGAAAATGATAATATTAATAAATAAGTTATAGTCACAAAGAAATAAAAAACTGAGAGAAAAGATGATTATTCTGAAAGTCTGTTGGTTTTGCCTTCCTTTAATTTTGGCATTTTCTCTTATCTTGAATTTTTGATTTTACAGAAGAGAAAAAAGATCATGACAAATATTACACCTTTCAAGGAATAATATTTGTCATTTTTTTCAGATATATGTAGGCTTACATTTTAGCATTTAGTTCTGCACATTTTATGTCAGCAGACCAGGTTAAGGGCAGGACATGTTGGTGTGCAACGGCAAGAGCTACTAATGACAACAACTGACATTCATGACATTTAATTTTCTTCAATTAGTTACAAAAAAGATCAATATTACAGTGCTTCACACAATGACTGTGATTTTTATTAGAAAAGTAACATGATTAATTTATTACACAGAGCTTTAAGTACCTTGCAACACAGATGAAGCTAGAAACTGTTGATGCATTTTCTTAAGATCAATCACAATCTTCTCTTCAATTTCTTTGCCAGTCTCCAGCTCCGAATCTGACATCCATATGGCTGTCTCTTGCGTCGGGGTGATTATCACTACAGTTTTCTTGCGGGTTTGTAAGATGTTGGACACCACCACCTGGTAACCAATGAAATAATTGGTTTTGGTATGAGAATAGATTTCATATCTAGAGAAACTTCCCCTTTCACACAAGAGGAGATGCCAAAACTCTCTCTTTTGCACCCCCCTCCTCCCCACCAAAAAAAAAATCAACTATTAACCTCCCCACTCCAGGTAAACACAAACTGACATGGGGTGGTCTTGGAGACTATACGAAGTCTTAAATACATGAGGTAAAGAACGTCAAAATTCACTTTTATGCTCGTTCCCAATCATCCACAGATTATCTAATTCCGAGCTAATAAAAAAACAAAACAGATCCATATATGGCCACAGACACAAAATTCAAAACAAGACCCTAAATTCAAAACAAGATTTTAACACACCTGGTGTGAGTATTTAGCTAAAGCACGTCTTGCTTTCTTGGAGATAATGTTCACATCTGTTTCTAACTGCAAAGAGAATTGAATAGCAAGGGTTAGTAAACAGCAGGTTCGAAACGCAGGTCACAAGGTTAGAGGCCACACAGGTTATAGCCTGCATGGCAGGCGCAAAAAGGGGAGGGGGAGGGGGGAGGGAGAAAGGGAAAAGGGAAGGGAGCGCCTGCTCTAAGAGCCTATGTTTTTGCATAACGCCTACCAATTTTCTAATAATCCGATTACGCTTACTGTCAATCAACTGTCGCTACACTAGCCATTGCAGAAAAGCATTACACTCATGGACCAAAGAAATTCGCTTAGTTATTCAGATCCAGAAGGCACTTTGAAGAAAATTGGAACCCTTATTCAGCCGTAATAAAAAAAGCTTTACACTTCAAAAGAGGTCAAAGAAATTTCGCTTGCATCAGAGGGCAAATCCTGCCGACCAGAAAACAATAACTACAGTCAATCGATATGTATGTCATGACCTCTCAGTGTGAAACACGCGGCTAAAATAACATTTGCTCAGTATAATTGCAGAACCTTGATAAATTGGCTAAATCTTTCGCTGAGTAGCCCAACAATTCCATCTCCTGCAACTGGTCTTCGATAATACTTTTCAGTGGCGAAATGACGAGAATCGCCGCATTACCATTTAGCTCGTAGTTCTTCGCGCGTACAAACATTTGGTAAATTAAACTCTTGCTGTATCCGGTCCGCAAAACCGCCAGAACATCTCTGTCGGCTAAAAGAGCCCTTACTGCTGATTCTTGCTCTGGTTTTAAAACAGTTTCTCTACCACTAGATAAATTCACATCTCTCAAAGCACTCTCTACGACATCCACGTCTACCGCTGCCATCTCGACTGTTTGTTGATTTGTGAAACGCGCATTTCAATATGTTACTCATTACGGCTCAGCCAATCAGGAATTTGCGGACGCCAGCGTCCGCAGATATGAACAAAAAGGGGGTTCTTAGAGCAGGCGTCCCCTCCCCCTCTCCCCAATCCCCCTCCCCTTTTTCCCTTCCTCCCTATCCCCTACCCCCTACTCCTTTCGAAGCCTGCTACGCAGGCTACACAGGTTAGAGTGCAGGTCACCATGCTACATACAGTAAATAAGCAACAATGAAAGTGTCTCCTAGCCCTAATCACAATCTGATGTTTTAAATTAAGGGAATGCCATTGTCTCAATCAATAGCGCAGTGACCTGCACTTGTGACCTGTGTTTTTTACCTGCCAGTCAAGAAGGTCAAAGAAAAGATATCACTAGTACACTCTGATGCAATGCTTGCCTGAAAAAGAGCTGACGCTTTTCATCGCAACCACTGATTTCTCAGCAAAATGAAAAATAGGAAAATTAAATTTTAACCAATCAGAAGCACTACCCAGGTTGTGACACTTCATCAATATAGAATTTCTGTAGTCATTTCTCAGATGTCATTTTGCAGGGAAACTGGTGGTGACATCGTAAAATATCAGCTGTTTTCTCAAGGTAGCGTAACAATGAAGATAAACAGAATAATAAGCAAAGCTTTCAAGCTTTAATGTACCTTGAATGATACAGTGAATGCTTGCGGAATCCATTCTTTAACCAGAGGAGCCATCATTTTTGGAGCTTGCACCAACTGAAGCTGGAGTGGGCCATCAGCAGACTGTATTTTATGCTCTGGCTTTAATGAAAAAAAGACATTCAACAAAATCATGTCACGTAACCTCCAAGTATTTTTAAGCACAAAGGTGAACACCTTAAGGAAACAACCAACCAAAAGCTGTGAAGAAATAATATTAATGCATAACCAAAAAGTTTCAAGATCAGAGACTATTATTCCACTCTCCCCCAGACCCCACCCTAGATGATTTGCCTGGGCCCTTGCCAGTCGGGCAAGTAATCTTTAAAAGTAACATGCCCAGCTAGAAAATCTACTTGTCCTAGACTAACAGACAAGACCTTTTTCAAGCTCTGACAATTTACACACTGATTGACAAAAACTAATGTAATGACCAGTGAAAACAAGTTTAGTCACGTGATGTACCTCCTGGAAAACATCTGATGTCATACTTTCAGCATTTTTACTTTAGTTTGTGATAATGGACAACGCTGGGATCAGTGTCTGTTGAAGGGGGAGTTACCTTACTCTGAATATTGAGATGAGCTGTGTCGGTTTTGCCCATAATAATAAAAAATATTCATGTTAAACTACTAAATAAAAGTAGTATGTGTATTGACCAAGACCCTCAACATAGGCTATTCATGATGACATGACTTCACCCTAGCAATATCTACATGGACAGTGGAATTGAGATTCCTGAAGCGTGGATGCCAACAATCAGACAACTTAGTACCGATCCCTATGACAATGGACTGCTGAGGGAACAGTTTCCTCCTTTAATACTGCCAACAATGCTTTAAATCAACCAATACTGGTGTAAATGTCTACACATATGCCACCCCTTGATGCAAATGTTTCTAAAGAATATTATTAATTTTACTCTTCAACAAGGATGTGACTAATGCTGGTGACCAGGGATTTCCCCTGGCTGCTACGAGCATGACGCCAGGCTAGTTTCCAAGGGAAAAGAAGGGAAATAGAACCAGAAGAACTTCCTTACTGTTCAATTCCCTGCCCACTAATTGCATATATCCAGCAAATTAGTATGAGTTGTAGTCATATTTGGCATAAATACCACGAGAGTGATATTTCAAAATTATTGTTATGCGTGATTTCATGAGCCGTTAGGCGAGTGAAGTTTGAGACAACTTTAAAATATCACATACAAATCATGCTATTATTTGTTTATACTACTACCCGCAAAAGGTTTGTAATTTTCACATGTAGGTATTTCAAATTAAGCTGAAATACCACTGCTCTAAGCCAATCAAATTTCAGAAATTTCTCTTGTAGTAGCATAAACCTAGTAACAGCACTGCTTCATGATTGCAAGACTGACAAGGAGGGAAGGACAATAAACTGTAGGTTCCTGGGGTCCACAATAGGGACCTTTAGCATCGACGACAGCGACAGTGGGAATAACATCACTATAGTTTACTATTAAAATAAATTCAAATTTTTTCAAACTTTGTCCCAAAGGCTTATTCCAACTAGCTTAAAATGTTAAATTTAAGTGAATTTTCCTGGAGTTGAATTCTTAGGGACTGCACCCAAGTTCAGAAAGAGAAAGAAAAATTTGTTGTCATCTGTTTACATCCTTGCATATGCAGATTTCACAGAGTGGTCTGCAGGAACGGCAAACAAGTGTACAAGAAAGTGTTCAGCGAAGTTGTTCTTTTGCTTGTTAACCCTATTGCTTTTTTGGCATCCCCACCGCCATTGTCACCGTCGTATACTAAAGTCTCTAAATAACGGAATTTAACTGGAGATGTTGAGTATAACTTTTCAAACTTACCATATCCTGGGATGGAACATAAAAGTCAGAAACTGCAGCTGCCAAATACAACATGATGGAGGGGCCATGGGGTGCAAGAGATTCAGCCACACCCCTTAGAAGGAATAAATACTCAGATAGACTGTTATACTCAATCATGAGTAATGTCCCTGCAGCTCGTACCTTAAATGAAACATTAAAGATGAACTATGACATCCTGAATATGCAAAAAAATGTTTTGATACGTTCAAGTAAAAATCTTGTTAAATTGATAGAATTTTCCATTAAGAGTTGGAAAAACAGCTAACAGACAAAATTAAAGACTCCCATTTTACTAGTATTTTCACAAGAAACTTCTATTCATGTGTTGTTAGAAAATCTTGTGTGGTCATCAAGAACATGCTTGAAAGCAAATTAAAACCATCTGTGATCATTGACAAGTAAAGGGACTTGTGAGTGAGTCATATCAACTTTCCATATTCAACGCAAAATGCAAGTAAAATAATCGGTTACAGTGTAATATATCATTATTATCAGAGCAATTAGTAAGAGCTGGAAGTCAGGGATTTCCCCCAGCTACTATGAACATGATCCTCAGGCTACTTAAGGACCAAAAGAACTTCCTAGCTGTTCAAGTTCCAACCTATAAAGTGAATGTACCTAAATTTCAGTGACAGCCCCGAATATAATGACAGGGTAATATTGAACTTCTACCCCGCGAATAGAGGCTGCATTTTCGCTGTGTGAACTGGCATGTGCAAAAAGTAGCCTCTGCTGACAACCGTTCAATTTTCTATCGTGCATGTGCGAAATTCATCACGTGATTAGCAAGCAAAATTAATCGTCAGGTCTGTTCGGGAATTAAAAAATTGCAACAACTCTGGTCTGCTACGCAAGACTCACACAAGACTCACGCGATGCTCTAAACCGGTTAAGAACAAGAAAAAAAAACCTGTTTTTAATTTATTCGTCCAGATTTCTGGACAGATTTGAACGGTTGTCAGCAGAGGCTACTTTTCGTACAACAGCTCACACAGCGAAAATGTAGCCTCTGCTCGCATGGTATTGAACTTCTGGAATTGTTCACTAAATCATCTACTTACTTGTCTGTAAACCTTGAGAATTTGGATCAGTTTTGGAAGTTTGTGGGAATTGACTAGTGAGCAAAAAAAATAATATAATAATCAGCAAAGTGATTAGATGTATACACAAGCAGAGATGCTGAACCTCTGGTGATCTAAATACTGGAAACTCTCTCTTTTTTGCCGTCCCACCCCACCCACCCCCAGGGGGAAGAGAGGTACTAAACCACTATTTTGCTGTAGGTGAGCCACTGAAACCTTGACCCTGTTTTAGGACAAGAAAATCCTAAAAACACGCAGCCTGTTTAGGACTACAACCTCAATTTTATTACCATGTTTACGACAAAGGACAGTCTTATTTTAAAGCCATTTTTTAAATATGTTGTGTTTCAATTTTATCCTTGCTTTAAATTTTTCTTGCTTTAAATTTTTCTTTTGTTTTTGGGAGTGGTAATAATGTATAATAATGAGTTTGAAACAGAAAAAGTGGCTCCAACTTGAGGTAAGCAGACTGTCCAACCTTTCGAGTACGTAAAATTGGGCTATTTTTTACTAACCAATGAATCACGTCAGCGCCTAGAGTGTGAGCTGCTAGGGGTGCCATGGGGCATGCTACCCCAAAAAATTTCTTAATTTTGATGCTCCGAAACGCTATTTTTGTGTTCTGAGAGAGCAATTTCTTTCCAAAATGTTCACTAAATCGATTGTTATTTTATGCCTATTTTCACATACAAGTACTTGATTTTGTTTTATATTTCAAGTGGTATATTTTTTATCAGTTTCAGTCTAGTGTTCCTGTGTATTTACCCTAAGAATTCATTTGATAATATCAAAACAGACGTCAAAATCACGATATTTCCTATCCCGATTGCATATTGGTCAGGAGTCAGGATTTTCAAGCAAGATCGGGAGAATCCTGACGAGATTAGGATGGTTGGACAGTCTGAGTTAGTAAATTTGGCAGTAATGAGTCTACCTTTGACTCTCTCGCCTACATGATGCACAATGTTCTTTAAGCTCCAAAATCCACACAGAAATTCTCAATACTTAAATTTCAATATATTTCCTTAAAGAACTAGTTAAAAGAATTAATTTGCTTAAAAATCAAAGGATTTTTCCTTGATGGTGATCATTTTATGAATTCTCTATAACCTTTTCTATTGATTATGCATTGATATCTTTAGGAGAAAATAGATGTTGGTCACTCTGCATAATGCATCCTTGATTAAAGCTCCTAGAGAAAGTTTGTCAGAAAAAATGTGCATACGACAATCCTGAAATGTGATATGGGATATGATCAAGACGTTGTTTCTGGCACTGTAGCTGTTAAATCTTCTGTTGCTGCTTTCCTTTTTTAGCAATTGCAAACATAAGTCTATGGCCTCTCAAGCCATTCTTTCAAATTTCTTTGAAGAACAGTGAACTCCAAACCACCCAAAATACCTTTCAAAATTGTTGCGTGCGCTTTTTGCGACAACCTTTCTCAAAATAGCTGTATGTCAGAAAACATAAGTTTTGTTTTGTCCCACCAAAATGGTGATTAATCCAGTCATGTGCTTTCAATAAAGAAAACTTATTTCCAGCACTTTGTTGGCGCTCTAGAGCAAGGATTTGTGCATCACTTTGAATTTCCTATTTCCTAACAGTAAATTTCTTCCTTACCTTCAATTTGGCTAGATCCATCTGGGAGGTCTTTAAGTTGAAGCAGATCCAGAATATCATGTGAAGGGAAGTTGCGCGTGAATGGCTGTAGAGAACCTTGCCTGTGTAGAAATATCACAGCATAACCTTGCTGAAGAAAGTATCTTAGAAAAAATATCAAGGAGGTAAAATTCACAAAGTCTCAGAAGAATTGTGTAGGTTAATGCTAACCAAGGAATGATAAATGACATAAAAGATTAAATTAAATGTAGGGTAGCAATCTTTGGATTAGAGGAAAACCAAACATGCAAGAAATATATCTCCAGAGCAGGACCACCCAACAGGGCTGCTACCTAAATAAAACGTTAGGAGCCCAAGCCACAGTTCTAGGAGCCCAATAAACTTAAATAAGTATGCAGAATGATACTCAAAAACTCGATTCTCACCTCTCGAAACTCAATTCGTCCGAGTTTCAAGTTACCAGAAATGTGCTTGTTTTTTCGCTTTTATCAGTGCAAATTTTTTGCCTACGGTCAACAAACACATGTTTTACGTCTTTGTTTCAAAAGCGCGAAATCAGCAGGGAATTCTGTTGTTCCTTCATTGGAAGCCACAAAAATCATAAGTTTTAGGTGCCCAGGCAGGCTCCTTGTTTTAAATTTAAGTCGCCCGTAAGCAAATCTTATGGCAGGATGGAGCAGGGTCCGACTACTAATATCATACATATCATAATTTATTTGTACATAAAATTATAAGGATACTCTGCCGAGGCAGATCCTCTGGTTCCATTGCTAAAGTTATCAATAAAACGAACAGCATTGGCCTCCAAAGGAACACGCGTGCCTCCAGACTGCAAAATAAAAAATTCAAACACTCTGTCAAATTTTTACCCATGTCATTGGTGCATGAAATAAAAATTAGCTGTATTAGGTCAACTTCTCTAAAACTAAAAGCAGTGGAACTGGAATGAAGGGGTTCGTTTTTTAAAGATTTCCATCCAGCTGAGCTACCCTTCAGTCTCCAAGGATGCCTCAGCTCAAATCAGTACCTAAGAGCACCTTCGCCTTCTAAAGGCAGAACTGGCTGACCAGAGAGTTCATTTTGAAAATGAGATACAAGTCTGTTCTCAAAATTTTTATGACAACCGATCACTGCTATGAACACCATTTAGGAATGAACTGATCTGGCTAGAAAGTCCTGATTAATTCTCCAATTCTGACGAATGGTAAGCGCCCTCAGAAATGCTACAAAATGTTCCGGGGAAGCAAAATGCGAGAGAGGGCTCGATAATTTACCAGCCGATGTTCAGGAAGATGAGCTCGCACTCTGGAGACAGTGGAAATCAAGGCCAAATGGGAGAGCTGCTTACCCAAAAGGACAAGCTGGAATTCAAGTGTTCTTAATCTTTTTTGTTGTCTTTTGCATCTCTAGGTCAATATTTTATGTCTGGTAACCATTAGATACTTTTGGGTCACCAAAAATCAAGTTTGAAAAAAAGTATAGCTTGGAGCACTAATGTGACATTAATTAGAGCTATCTCGTACAATTCTCATCTGATTACCTAACATCACGCAAAGCTTCTGAAACTTTTAAATTATGCACGTCAAGCCCATAACCCGGAGGAGCTACTTCCATGTGCTCATGTCACGGCATTTTTATGGACCAACTTATTTTCAGAACGGTTTTGGCGCAAATTTTGAATTCCGCAAACAAGCCAGCAAATCCTACACACCTAAAACTGATATTTTTGGCCTTTTAATAACGTTTAGTCTTCCTTTTTGATATTCTGCACTTCAAATGCGCTCATAAGCATTGTGGAGATTCTATTTTCGAGGGGGAAAAGTTCCCTAAAATGTGTCTAAAAATAAACTGGTCCGTAAAAACGCCCCTGACATAGGCCTAGTATGGGAGTTGCTCACTCCGGGTTATGGGCTCCTGAATTACGTTATTGTGATTCGTCTGATAATAGTGTCGAGAGTCAATAGAGAAATCACATCATTAGTCGCATAATAGACCTTTTCTCACATAAGACCTCCTCGACAATTCTGCATATTTCCTCATATGTTTCACCTCCTGGACAATACTGCATATTTCCTAATATGTTTAGAGTCTGTCAGAATGCCTGCTACATTTATTCTTGTTCACATCTTTTCACTAAATAACAACCCTTAATTTATGAACTGTATAAAAAAAGGTACTGTATGCAAATGCACGAGGTGTGTATGTTGTTCAATGTAAAACAATACTCTGCAATTGATTTTCAGTGTGGTACGTGATGGGTAAAACAATCTAATTTAACAAGCTTCTTAATTAAACTTGTTTTGAGGACAAGAACATATATTGAGAACTACAACTAACAAAATATTCTTTGTGTGGTGGTCATTGAAAACTGGAAACTAACTAACAGTCAAAAGTAAACTTTTATAATGATTTCAAAGATCAAGTTCCATCGTCAACCGCACATCCCATGACACATTACTTCGTTCATTACAACGAAATCGGAGGCTGTCACGGGAATAATCAACGTTAAGTCGAATTTTTATGCAAATGCCCTGTTAAATAACGACAGACTTGAATGGTTTCAGATGAAAGAACAATAAGCCATTTAAACCATTAGTGATTACAGAAGTGGAACCATTCGAAAAGTATGCAAATTTAGCGTTGTGTTTAAAAAGATTAAATAAATCTAGGCTGTGCATTAAAACATTACATCCTCGATTACCAGTCTGCACATTTTTAGATTCTCGGGTGCTTAAAAAGAAAACATCCGAGATTGAATCTCATGAATTTCAAGTGATGTTTCGAAGCATTAAAATTCAACTCTTGCCTAAGTGGCATAAAACTATTAATCTGTGAATCAACTAACGCCATGAACGGTTATTAAACTTAAAGAATGTATTAGCTTATGTCGAACTCGTGTCGACAAAGATTGTCTTTAAAGAACAATTCCAGCGTGCCAAACCACGAATGGCACTTTTATGATTCATACTGGCACTCGACCTGATTTTACTCATAATATATACTGCGTCCTTGCATGTTTTAAACGTAATAGTGCGACATTAGGGAGTGTTATGTGCATAGATTTCCGGACAGTCTGGTTTCGTTCGGCAAATTCTTCAAGTCAATGGATTAACCACTCACCGTCACAAAGACTACATCCCTTCCAGCTGCCCTTTGTGTTGCTGCAAATTCGCCGACAGTAGTTCTAACTTCTTTCAAGTTTCCAGGAGGTGTTTCTCGAGCGAAAAATTCAACCCAATCCGCCATCATTCATGAATTATCCCTTATTACATATTCTACTTTGATTTTTTTCAGAAAGCAATTTTTTCCTGCTCCAGCAGGGCCCAAGATCCTTCTATTTTGGTCAGAGAACAACTTTCAAGTCTTTTGACGTTAGCCAGAGGTCTTATTAGTGGGAAAAACCGGGCAATTTACCACAAAATGCAACGCAAACGAGAAGGAATACAAGCGAATAATTTTCGGGTGGAACGCATAATTATTTTCAGGGAAGACAAAATAGCCAATCAGAGCGGGGCATAGAAAACCCATTTGGGGTAATAAAATGAAACCCTTCATGGGTAGTGAGTTTTCAGAGTATTTTTCCCCTTACGTTTTCACATATACGCTACAAAATTTGTTCTTATCGCTGAAGGGTTGTTTGAAATGAGTAAATCCTGCAGACAGCCTATCTCGTTTCTTCGCTTTTCAAGCAGAGAAACAAGATAGTACGTACATTGTGATTGGTTAAAGCGCGGAGTACGTCTTAAATTCAATGAAAATTTAAATTATTTATAACCTTTCTATTTATGCCGTAATGCGGTAATCAGTAATCCATAACACTTCTATGCTGACAGAATATTTTTGATTCTTTAATTATATACAAATAACTTCGAGCATTTAGGAAAATTTACGGGGCTTCTAACTGGGAGCGAAGGCCAAAGAAAAAGGGGAAGAATCGAATGGGACGGTAGGGGGGAAGAGGAAACCTCCCCCCGCCCCCCTCCTTCATTATTCTATAATCGCGCAGAAAAGCTTGCCATGGTTTCACAGCCAGACTGAAATTTCAAGAGCCACTTCGTTCAAAAGTTTAGATTCTTCTCTCCCTTTCTTTCAGTTTATGGTATGTAGGATAGGATCTTAACTTCAATCCTTTTGGTCAAAGGAAGTCAATGCACGTTTGTGCGCAATACTGGAGACAGCCGAGATACAGTAAATGCACAATTTTTTATTAGTCTTCCTACAGTAGTTGAAGAAAATACCTAGCAGCCCCGTTAAGAAATGACGACAACGCCTTACTTTCTTTGTACGATTTGGAGTCCTGCGAACAAATTCTCAGCGCATCTTGCACATCGGCCTTATATGTTCAACTCGGGGCCGTTCAACTCCAGTTTATTCTGCCTGCCATCATTCTCCTATGATCTGTTCATATCCTGGGTTACTAGGCTACCGAGAGCTCCCTCTCATTTCTTTTTCGCGCCCGAGAGGAAAATGGAGGAGACGCAAGAGAATGAATTTATGGCATACATTTTCAAGCGAAGATACGCAGCTGTCAATTACAACAATAAAACTTCACAATTGAACTTTAAGCACGGCCGATCACACAACTATGTATGCGCAAAAAACCCTCACTTTCAAAATGAGCCCAGGTGCACAACATTTCTCGTGAAAATGAGTTTTATTTGCATGAAAATGAAAAGTCCTTTCCATTCCAAAGGCTGAGCACTTAACCTCGTTTTGATACAGAGACCAGGGGTAACTCGGAAATGGCTTTTGGTATGATCAGGCAAAACTAACCTAGCCTCTCACGTGTCTCCTTCTCGCGCGCCCGTTCTTTCAAAATGAGGCCAAGCGCACAACATTTCTTGTGAAAAGGAGTTTTAGTTGAATGAAAATGAAAAGTCATTTCCACAACAAAGGCTGAGCGCAACCTCGTTTTGATACAGAGACCAAGGGTAATTTTGGTATGATCAGGCAAAACTAACCTAGCCTCTCACGTGTCTCCCTCTCGCGCGCCCGTTCTTTCTTGCGCCCACTACTTCCAAGCGCCTGCTACGCAGGCTAAAACTAACCATCTGAGGAGAAGTTCCTCCCCTTGCTTGCGTTCGCGCAAATGTTCGCGAATAAGGAGACTTCAAGGGTTTGTACGGGAGACACCCTTGAAGGATAAACAAGCAGATCACGGCTTGCAAATCAAAACGCTGAACTGTGTAAAAATGGGTTGGACACGCAACCTACAGACTACACTGCGTACTGATCAGATGACTTGTTAATTGGTGGGAGATAACGATAACTGTGTAGTGGGAAGGGGCTACCAACGGTTTTATTTACAGAGGGTAGGGTAAAGACCCCTTATCCCCCGCTTAAAGCCTTGTTCACTACAACGAATGGTGCCAACATAATCACGGCCGATTCACTTACAAACACTTTCCGATAGTGGATTTTCTCTCTCTTCTGTAATTGAAAACACGGTTTAGATAAAATTTACAACCCAAAATTTGCCGCCTAATTTATGGTACAAGCACCCTTTAAGCAGAGGATATACTCTCTAGTAGTAGGACACACCCTGAACCCCGACTCGACACCTTGTGTGGGTACAAGCAAAACAAAAGAGCCAAAAAAAAGTCGCAGTGATCATTCATTTCCTCCAAGATTCCAGAGTCTACACATCTTTCCAAGTTGTCTTCTACGCTCGAGTGGCATATAAGGGCCAAGCAAACCCACCCCATAACTTAACCCAACAAGCAAATGTTGGCACCATTTCGATGACAAGGCTTTAAAATCTCACAAGGGAAAAAATCGTCAAAAGGAAGCAAAACGAATCGTATTAACACTATTTTCTCAGCTTCGTTAGCACGTCCTAGCTGTGAATACTGAAGTAAATTTGCAACACCGCAGATTCACTCCAATTCAGCGTTTTGATATGGTCTTAAAAAAATTAATAATCATCGTGAATCACGCAAATTCGGTTTAAAACTTTTATTGACTAGAAAAACGACTTCAAGTCCAACAAATGAAAGCAAATTCATCCTACCTTAGAGACGGATGTGGAATTATTTCACGAGGAAACAGTTTATTCATTGAGAATATTCAATTTTCAGAAATACGATTTCCGTGAAGTCTTAGGCGAATGCCTCATGTCTAATAAGGCAGCAAAACGTTTGACTTGCTGTATAGAAATAAACCAAATTTAACTATTTTTTTCAATCAGTTTACTATCCATTAAGACGACGCACCTGGAAATGAAGGAAACAAATAGACATCAGATCAATAAACAACAGAAACAGCATCATATAAATCGTTCTTCCCAATTGTTTTGTTGAGATAAGGAGGGGGTTGTAAGGGGAAAGGTTAAGATTCTCAAGAAAATGACCAGGGCACTGTTGTTCGAAGGCAGATTAGCGCCAACCCAGGGTTAAATTTAAACCCGGGTTTCTTTTTCTTTTGTTCTTTTTCAAACGCATTTCCCAAATAATTTTTTCTGATCCTTTTTGAGCAAAAAGAATAAAACTGATTTGATTCTCAAGCTTTCATATCTGAAATCCAACTTCACACTAACCCTGAGTTAACTTAACCCTGCTTTGAACAACCCAGCCCAGAGGTATAAATACCACAATTTTAGCAACTTCTCTTCAGTTGCATTTTGGGCAAACCCTCCACCCCTCAAATAAAATAATTTGGGGAAGGGCTTTCTCAAAACAGGTTTGTTCTCCCTTAGCTTAACCACTCACATAAATAACAAAACCCACCGACATAAAAAAACTCCAACTCTCATCCAGTGTTTAAAAGTTCAGTTTTTTTACAAATTAGGGGCCTTGGGAAATTTGAGGGTAGCATGGTAGTCAAAAGGGTTATAAAGCATGATGTATTTCGATATAGGGTACAGAATTTTTAGCAAAAAAGCTTCACCAGACTCAATATAACTTAACCCATTTTAATTGTTTATTTTCAAACTTAGCATTAATACAATGCAACTTTTAACGATATTACCAATATCAGACTTACCTCAATAAGCACGTCAATACAAACTTTATTATACAAAATGAACACAGCATTCATAACAAATCATAACATGCATCTACACCTCATTTTCAAGCAGTATACACTTGTAACTTAAACTTTAAAAAGTTGATGCCCAGTTCCAGTTACTACACACAGCCAAGAGATTTGATTGCATTTACTTAATTGTTACTGCTGCCGTCTTCTGAAAATGAGGTGAAGATTTTAGAAATAAAAATCAATAAATAATATTAAAATGACTATGAAACAATGTTAAATTAAGTTACTCATGAACTGAAAGGAGAAAACAGACGAGAGTTAGAAATGGCTTCAAGTACTTAATGACACTAGCTAAATAAGTTGAATAACACTATGGGCCAGTTATTTATACAGTCTAACATGGACCTCTTCATCTCCAGATATGTTTATATAGATATCCTTTTTTTCGATTTTGTTTTTGTTTTTTTTCTTTTTGTTTCTTTCATTCTTCTTTATTTTTCTCTTCAGTGCTACATGCTACCTCAAGTTCTAGTATTCCAGATAACCACAATGAAACTGGCTCAGAACACAGCCTTGTTACTATAGGTTTAACCCTGTTTAAATAACCAGCCCTTTGTGTTGTGAAACTAGTGATGGAGTTCCTGGTAACCCCATAGTTTACTACAACAAACCAAGTGCTAACTAAACACGGGACTCTGGGCCCCTTCGGTTTCTATCGGAGCCACAGAGTTTTCTCAACTCGTTCATTTTGGAGAACACACGATCATGTGGCTCCAACGAACGAGTCCATTTGGGTAGCCATTCCCAGTCATGGAGGACCTCAGGTAATCTTTCTGGAGCTTTCCTCTGAAGGATGTTGACAACAAGAACAAACAAGAAGAGCAAAACAAATGGAATCGCAACACCAAGGAGGATTTGCCAACCAGCCAGCGACAAGCCAAAGACAGCTGCTGGAAGGAGGAAGAAACCAAACACCAAGTACGCTATGGCAAACCAGCGGTAGTCAGCAGTTTTGTTGCCTAGGGTCTTTGCAACATTGATGGGAACTTTGCGCAGGTAAGGGATTGGATACCACAACATGATACCAGAGATGTTGAAGAAGAGATGACAAAAGGCAATCTGGAGAGCTTTGTCCAAGTTTGAGTCACTAGCCAGGGCTGCTAAAATACCAGTTGCAGTTGTTCCAATATTAGCACCCAAGGTAAGTGGAAAGGCACGTTCGATAGTCACCACTCCAACTCCGATAAGGGGTGTGAGGGCAGAGGTGAAGATGGAACTAGACTGCACCAACATAGTTAAACCAGCACCAACCAAGATGGCCAAGTAACCAGTGAGATGCTTGAATGGTCCTGGGAAGTCTGCATTGACGGTCTTCTTGATGATCTTGGCCATCTGACCACGGAGCATGGAATGAAGGATTTTGACGATTGACACAAGGCAGATGCAGAGAAGGATGATGGATACAACCAGGATTATGATGCCCACTTCTGTGTCACTCAATGTTGTGCCGGCAAAAAGAAACTTGCACTTGGCTGGTGTTTCTTTTGTCTCATTTACCAGCTCATAAGTGAAATAAGTTGAGTTGCTGAAAGTCTTATTAACTTCTTCAATAGTTACTTTAGGTTCGCAATTTTTGATCAAGGACTTTGAATCAGCCGATTTGTCCCCAAGGGCAATCTTCTTTATAATGTTCTTGTCTAACTGGATGATCATCTTGGTGAATGGTTGTGTGACAGTCTTGAGCAGCTTTTTGTTGGTTCCTTTAGCCTGTTTTAAATCAAGAACTCCAATAATCTCTCCTGTCAATCGACGCAGGTAGCCAGTAATGACCTCCATTGGCAAGAACACAATGACTGACAACCAGTTGAAGATATCGTGTACAACGGCTCCAGCAAAGGCACGACGGAATTCATTTCGCTCGGCAGCTTGAGCTAAGGAGACAATGGTGTTGGTGACTGATGTCCCAATATTGGCGCCCATCACAATTGGAATAGCAGGTTTAACAGCCAGAACTGAAAACAATTGAGTTCCTGTTAGACACTTATATTTTCTACAATTCACATATTGAGAACCAATTTTACTACAAGTTTTGCCTTTGAACAAGACCAGTTCATCTTCTTGTCAGACAGGTTAAGTGAGTCAGTTAATGTTTAAAATGTAAGAATTTGTCATGAAATTGAGGCCATGGAGCTAGGACAGTAGCTTGATAAAATAATTAACCTCCAAAAAGATTATTTTAAGCTATCACAAAAGAAAAAACTTTTCACTGATTTACATGCAAGTTCGCAATAAATGATTTACTATGATAAGACAAGCCCTTTCAGTTGTCTCCTCCTCCATGCCGTGGAACTCTCTTCCAAATCACAAAGACAAGCAAAACTGATACCAGGATCTTCATCAGACATCAGAGACTAGAGAATACCCCATTTACAATGAAAAATTCTCCAGCTAAGGTTTGGTTGCCTGGGACTATTTTTTATTCACATGAGGAGCCTCTTTCAAAATATTTTCCTATAACGTTACACCTTTCTCCTGCTACTAGAATTCTCAATGAGAATCCTGTGATTCACGCTTTTTCATTTCTTTAAAAATCGAATGTTTCTAAATTTTCCGCCTAAATTTATCTGTCATTTTAAATTGACTAACTGATTTTTACCCTGCTCAATCAAACTCATGGGAAATACAACATAAACACTGATTACTATCCAAAACTTTGGTTGGAAAACAGTTATACATGTACAGTGTGTAAAGCTTCTATTCACAAAGGTATCGGTAGGATGAACTAATATTCCAGTTGTAATGCTATCTTTGTTAAGAGCAGCATTTTTCAGGATGAGGTTCTGCAAAATCCTGAGAGAAAATAATATTAAGCAAACGTTTTGCCAAGGCAGTGTCATTCAAATGGTAACACTTTTGGAATTTGGTCCATAGATTTTACAGACTGGATGAAAAATAATCTAGCCTTTACCAGGTCCAACAGTGGAAGTGATTTGATTTTCTTATGTTGCACGCTGGCACCTTTTGCAAAAACATTCGTGTTTAAGTTAACCGATCGCCACTTGTTTGTTAAGAGTAATCCATTTAACGTGCTAGCATGTTTCGAACAAAGATTACGTGCTTACGTAGGTTTTACTCCCACTTGTTGAGAGTAATCCCAGCTGCGTGTTGCATGTCTAATTCCATAATATTTACGCAAATGTACATGTGACTTAGGAAAGAGATGCGATCCGTAACACTATAATTTTACTACAGTAATTGATTTTCCCGATAAGACAGTTTGGACTATATTTAACCCACGTCGAAAATATCTGGACAACGAAAGGTCACGCCGTCGATCGGACATAATTTGTGACCTTTAGATAAGGAGGTCGCTTTTAACAGTATTGTAACAAATTAGGAGTAAAAAAAAAACAGACCTTCATTTACCCAGCGAGAATTTAGAAAAATTCCTTAAAAGAAAAGCAAAATAAAACTTACTGTCAGCAGCCACCATTGCGACCACGATGGAAGTTGTAGTGGACGAGCTTTGAACAAGAACAGTTGCCAGGATGCCAATCATAAGACCAGCCACGGGGTTGCTGAGGATTTTATTCGAGGCGAAGGCCTCGCCAGCGGCTTTTCCCCCCAACAGGCGAAAGGCACTGCTCAGGAAATCCAACGAACAGATGAAAAAGTACAGAAGACCAAGGAGTAGGACAATCTTCGTGAACGCCAAGGCGACGCGAAGAAACTTCCCTTTACAGTCGAGTTCTGTTGGCGCGCAAAACGTGACCGTTATCAGAAGAAGCGGGAAAACCATCAAACCCAATAAAAATTGACAAAAATCGACCGCGCTGTGCGGAAGAAAGTAGAGAAGCTGACAGACAACTTACCAGACCACTTTGGCCCAAGGTCCTTAAGTTCTGGCAAAGCCCAAGGATCAAATTCGTCGCTTTCATCGCCCTGATTGTCCTCGTGTGTAAGAACCTTGGTTCCCGCGTTCACATCAACCGCCAAAAACGCTTTCTCCTCATTCTTTAAGAGAAAAGGGCGAATAGAAAATAAATTTTCCCGCGCGAAACAAAACTATTCGATCAACCTATTTACTCGTAAATGAAATATGAAACCTACCGGCACGTTGGCCTCGCCACAAGGTTTCATTTCAACTTCTGCCAGTTTAGAAGAACTACTCAGAAGGTCCGCCATGATGTGAATGTCGAAATCCTAAGTCGCAGTGCTTTTGTATCCACCGGCGAGCGGAAGTAAATATGCACCAATCGTTTGGCAGTATGTAAATGAGCTCATCTCAGATACTCTTTGATTGGTTAAACGTATCATGCGAGCGAGCTTACACGTGATATGTGAACGGCGAACTTTGTACGGATGTGTGCGAGCGGAAGTAGTTTTCGCAGACACGTGTACCCTGACCATTTCGAGAGGGAACAAAGAGTTTTATTTTCTATGTGGCCGAAATTGAGAAATTTTATTCGAAGAATTTGTACTATTCGCCATTTTAGCGCCTTATCTCCCGCTTTTGTATTTGTGAAGACTTGCTCGTTCTAAATCACGCTGATCGAGTTGACGAGAAATGGCAAGTCCGCTTCCTTCAATGGCGGCACGAGATTCAAGTGGTGGCCTTATTCCAGGCCTCATTTCGTTTAAAAAAATTTATTTTGAATGTTAACTCGGTCAAGAGAGTATTACGTTGGCCCTACTTCTGACTTGGATCACAGGACAAGTTTTGTAGCGTGCACGTGAGCTAAAGAACGCTTTCCGTGTAGTAAAGATTTTCATGGAATGCAATAAAAAAAATAGGGTTTTTATTATCACGCGGTCAACGATGTTTTAAAAAACCGCTTGTCACGTTATAAAATGTTTTTACATTGTTCTGGCACATCTGCCAGTGATTTGAACAAGCCACCTCAAGAAATGTATATCTGTGTCTTAATTTGGCGCGCGCGCGAAATCTACTCCGTGACAGCCACGCGTGACGCACCCCTAAGAATGTCTGCGGGGGAGGCCAGCGTCAGGCGTCAAACGCACTACATATTCCGGTTATCACATAATCCTTTCAAGGTTGAGTATCCGACCCTTTTGTTCAGCGCTAAATATATTCTAAGGATCTTTCATTTTTTATTCTTTTACATGTTATAAGTTTTCCCAGATCTAATATATTCAACATTTTCAAAATATAGAAGTTACATTCATCGTGGCCATGACGAACCGTACCGCGCCGTTCAGTCCCTCTTCAGTCAGCGTTATTTTTGCTCCGTTTCATTTACAGTATACACTCTATTTATCGCATGAAAGGTCAAGATGAGAACATAACAAAACTTTCTATAAATTTGTACATTTTGTTTGTATTTTTTCTAGCGATCGCTTTTTCTTTCAACGGCTGCTCGTGAATTCGAACGAAAGTGCAAGCGAGTCGCTTTAATCGCAGAGTGAGACGGCCGGAAGACGAACTTTATTCGATCAGGAAAAGTTGAGCAAAAAACTTAGTAAGCTAGGATCTAAGGATTACACTAAGTACCATCAAGATTAGCCTTGAAGTTGATTTGATTGCCAAAAACATAGCTAGCCTGACATGCATGGCTTGCGGCGGGGTAAGAGTACGGAATCAGTACGGGAGTGCTTTTTGGCGCCGGCGCCAAATGACACCATGAAGAAGCAGTCGCGCGGGAGAAATCCCGCCGACTTCAAGCGGGTTACATCAATGAGATTCTTTTTCCTTTGTATGATCAGTTTAAAACCATGTAAAGAGTTGTTTTTCCTGAACTCTTGTTCTAACTTGGTAAACAGGTGTGAGCGGTGGAGTAAGGTGAAAAAACAGGTTACACTGGCCAAGTTTGACAAGTCAAGTAAGACATGTTACACGTGAGGGTTCTCCTTACAACAGGTGCAATGGACTAATCACAACCGATGCAGGGCGGTGAATGCCATATTTCATGATTCTATTTTTGGAAAAATGTGAAAACCTCACGAAAGCGACATGAAAATGTGGCAGCTCCGAATCCAAATTTTACCTGATATCCGGTAGGCTTCAAGAACTAGAAAGGTCCGGAATAGAGTACTAAAGTGTGACGTCATAAAAATGAAATTTCTGAAATCATGGGATTTGTCAGGATATTCTGAAAGAACAATGTCCAAGAAGCCTACTTGCCAAAAATAAGCATTTCGGGGCAAATTGTCTCTGAGATCTTAGCCCAGTCATGCTTAGAAAACTCCATACAAACCCTTCTAAATTTTTTTGGGTCGACCCAAAAAAAATTAGAAGGGTTTGTCGGGAGTTTTCTGAGTATAACCGGCTAACATCTCAGAGACAATTTGCCCCGCAATGCTCATTTTTGGCAAGTAGGTCTCTTGGAAATTGTTCTTTCAGAATATCCTGACAAATCCCATAATTTCAGAAATTTCATTTTTATGACGTCATCACTTTAGTACTCTATATGGTGATTCATGACAATGGTGCGATTCCGGCTCCACGTCTTTAATTTTGTTATTATTATTATTTTTTATTATTATTATCACCATATCAGTCAGGTGATTGGAACAACGCCTAAAACATCGTGCAAAGAATGGTTCATAATAGAGCAGTACAGAACCGAAAAGATCATACAACTCTAGGAAACCAAGCTTCAGCAGTGTCAATATTTGCTATTCAGCACTTGCCTAAGTCACGTCCTTGACCACAAAACAAAACACTGTGAATTGAGATGAAACCGAATAGCATGAAGTTTGTGTTTTAGCGTTTCAGGCTTTCTCTCGAAAGTTTTCAAAACAGTTAAAATTACATTTTCTTCGTTTCAGCACCTGACCATATTACTACCATATTCCGGCATACTAACTCTAAAGTCAATCATTCAACCAAGAAACCTTTCCGAAAAATTAACCAAGAAACGCCAGCATGTATTTCATTTTCAAGCAGAAGGAGTTAAAGAAGAGCAAAAATGAATGTTTTAATAAGGGGGAATTTTAGAACTTACTTAGGGAAACAGCATGTATCAATTAGTGCCCCCGAAGCGCACAATGAAAATGAGAGTGTGATACAAAAAAGAAACCAACGAAACAAGAGTGTCATACCACGAAATTTGTCTTACTATCTATCTTAGGGTGAAAAATCAGTCTAAAATACTTTACTTTTGGCTCAGGCATGATTGCATAGGGCATAGTTAGTATAGTTAGGACAAGTATTCAGCAATTTCAATTCCAGAAGCCGCTCAAGTTGTTTTATACTAAGGCGTCTTTAGGTTTTTCATTACACTTCACTGTAAATTCGGCTAGCATATTCAGATCCATTCATAAGTAGTATTCGACTACTTCCACAAGTTTTGTATAAACAGGTCAAACAGTCTTTCGTTCATTAACTCGCCCTGTGTCTGAGTGTTTCTGTCCGGTCCTCCATCTCTTGGATTCTCCATCTCGTGGATTTTCTTCGATTGTACTGAAAGATAATCTTGAGGGAGACTTCAAATAAGATAAACCAGTCCTACTGTGACGCTAATGCTTCAGATTATTAACAACCACAAAGTTCCGTAGTGGAGCTTATTCAGTCGGGCGATGTCACGACGAGATACGGCTGTTAAGCAAATGAGATAATAAAGTCTTATTACTTAATTCCGGCATTTACTATACCCATACTAGTACATAAAGTATTCTTATAGAGTTATGAAGAAGATACCAAACAAAATTATCGGGAAGCAGTTACCATGAAAAAAAGTTGCCCCTCTTTTTTAAGTTTCAGTTCTTGTCCACCCTTGCCATCCGTTGCAATAGACGATAGGAAACAGTTTCAATGCTATATATAGTCTTAAATAAATAAAACTGGACACTATTTTTGGGATTTAATTGATGAAAAAAAAGCTTTAGTTTTTCAGTAAGATACCAAGTATGGAGACATTCCGCCTTTAAGCCCGCTTGCTTCATCTCGTTCCTTCTGAAAACAACAAAACGTTGGCCTTCGTTTGGCATGTGTCTACACGGGACCACCAAATGTCGCGGCCTATTGACATGATCTTGGAACAGATTTTGAATTTTTACTCCACCAGCCTATTCAAGTGACACTCTCCTGATTCTGAAAGGTTGAGTGTCAGGAGATATGACAAGCGAAACAAAGTCAGTAATTTTCTGAAATGTAGACCATGTGCTCTGGCTTGTTTAATGACTCATTCCTCAATACAAAAAAATAACGTACTGATGCACTGCTATATTGAAGTACACTGAGTTCTGTTCATAGTTTTTACAAGAACGGTAAGTACTGGCATATTCAGGAAAGCTCTGACATCAATTCCGTTCACTGGTTTTTGTTGTAAAAAGCGGTATGTGTTTTTAAAAACTTTCCTTACTATTGTTTATAGAGATTTTAAAAAGATTAACTTAACAAAAAAAAAAGAATTTGACAGGTTTCTAGTTTGTGATGTACATCATAACTACAAAAAAGCGTTTTTATTGTATCATCTTTAGTTTTTGTCTCAATTAGGTCAAATACTTCTGAATGACTTCACAAGCAAAACTCCGCTCCTTGACCAAGTTATCAGTGAGAAATATGACGATATGATTTCCAAATCGGTATAATACCATTCAAATGAAACCTCTTGAGCAGAATTTTTTAATGAAGAGGCTCACGAAAAAATTGAATTTTTTTCCGTTGGCCAGTTACTATGACTAACTTTTAAGGGTGAAAGAGTAAAACCAAAAAGCCTATGTATATCCATGTAATGTAACCAGAGGAACCCAATGCAACGAGGCGCGCGGAATGTATTTTCTCAGTAGGTTTTCAGTTCTATGCAGTTAGAAGCTTGTCTGGTTAATTTTGAGCTGCTCTAAAAAACAATTTAATATCTGATCGGATGTCTTAAGGGAACTTTAGTCGTCTCGAGTTTTCGTCTCAGCCGACTGTTAGCTACCAGAGTGATGGGTTCCGTCGCAATAGTTCGAGGTTGTAGCAGCCATAATTTCATTAGAAAATTCTTCAATTATCTCAGACAAATGGAGTGGTTATATTCAGAATGTTTTAGCCTTTCTTGAGCTTAAGAAATGTTTGGGCAAAAATTGATTCTTCGAACTGTTATTTCACAGAAAAATGTCGTCGGGTGCCCATGATGTAATCCGTGCGCTTATACATGAAACGAATCCAATTAATCCCGAACCAAAGTCCGAACCCTTCCGCTACTGCACTGAGTCATCGCCGATGACTTGGCCTCACGTTA